ATTTTGTTTTATGTTAAAAAAAGTGTTAAAAATGGAAATAAACCCATGTCAGAACAGTGCTGTCTTGTTTCACATTTCCTCAGATTCAATTCTTAGGCATGTTAACAGTCTCATTATTTAACTAATAAGACATGTTAAAGTGTTTGGTTGACATTTCCTGTATCTTTACAACATTATTAGTTGATTATGTAAAACTGATGGTAAACTTGTTATCATGTATTGTGTAATAAAGTTTCAAAAATGGAAATAAACTCATATCATTGCAGTTTGTCAGATGCAATCATTCACTATGTTTAGAATCTCAGAATGGAGGAAATTGGACATTTAACACTGTTGTATTTATATTTTTCCCATCTCATCAATTTTCTTAGCTGATCATATAAAGATGGCAATAACCTGTTAATTTTGTTTTATGTTAAAAAAATTGTTAAAAATGGAAATAAACCCATGTCAGAACAGTGCTGTCTTGTTTACATTTTGGCATTTTCAAGTTGTGACTTTGAAGTTCCATATGGGCCTGAAGACCTTTGCTAGTCACATTTTCTGAATATCCATGATACTAATATTTTATTATTAAAATTGATGGTCATTATGCTGTTAAACATTATGTAATATTGCATCAAAATTTGAAAAAAAAAACTATTTTGGGCACTGCTCCCATGATGACCATTTAAGAAAAACAATGTCACTTACTGTTCTCAAACAGTACAGTAAATATGTACAGATGTGTCTGTACATATTGCCATCACCTGTATCTGCCGTCGCCGCCGTCACTGTCGCCGGCGCTGGCGCTGTGCACTTTCATTGTAAACATGATAAGTGGAAGGCAGTTTAACTTTTTGGCTGTATGTTTACAGAGCTGGCATAAAACGCAGGTCAAGTTCGAAAATCAGCATGATCGGGCCATTTTAAGGGAAGTTATGCTGTTTTTTAACTTTTCAGCATATATGCAACACTGTAAACACATTTCAAGGAAAACTGATAGGCCTGTTGTCATGAAACTCACAGGAGTAATCGATCTTATTAGAACGCAGGTCAGGTTCGAAAATCGGCATGATCGGGCCACTGTTTTAGTAGTTATGCTTTTTTCTTCACTTTTCAGCATATATGCAACACAGTAAATACAATATAAGAAAAACAGATGGGCCAATTGTCATGAAACTCACAGGAGTGGTCATTCCTGCTAAAACGCAGGTTGAGTTCAAAAATCAGCTTAATCGGGCCATTATTTCAAAGAAATGCCGTTTTTTCACATTTCCTCAGATTCATTTCTTAGGCATGTTAACAGTTTCATTATTTAATTAATAAGATACGTAAAAGAGTTTGTTTGGCATTTCCTGCATCTTTACAACATTATTAGTTGATTATGTAAAAATGATGGTAAACTTGTTATCGTGTAATGTGTAATTAAGTTTCAAAAATGGAAATAAACTCATATCATTGCAGTTTGTCAGATTCAATCATTAAAATTTTGCATCAGAATTGACAGTAGCCTATTTTGTGCATAGTTATTTCCTGTTTTTTGTCTGTACATTTGACAGCTTTGCTGCCTTGTTTTCAAAAAGTAGGATCAAGTTTGATTTTGCGAAACGTAATATACTAATAAGCAATATAGCAATTAAGCAACGCAGGCTGTTAAGACGAAGGCGTACACTCGTTTATAATACATTTCTTCCATATATTGAACATATTAACGCATATTAACCGCGTGTGTGTGTGTGTGTGTGTGTGTGTGTGTGTTTGCCCTGCTTTCTGCACGTGCGACTAACGCGGTTTAAAGAAGCTGCGTGCGTGCGTGCGTTCGTGTGTGAATGCGTGGCTGTTTGTATGTGTGTGTGTGTGGGGGGGGGTGAGGGGGCGACTCCCCCGGCTCCTTCCTTACCCCTCCGGCTCCTTCACCTCTTTGTTTAAAAAAAAAAACAAGCTGAAATCATCACTATCTATTCCAGGGTGGAGAAGTAGAATGTGAGACAGTGGACTGCCCGAAGATGGACTGCTTTAATGTTATCCAGAGGCCGGGGCAATGCTGTCCGACATGCTTAGGTTAGTATGGATATTTCAGTATATAATTCAGGGTATTCTTAGCCAATCACATCACATTATTTTTGTTCATTGAATGATAATTGTTGGATACGTAATTTGATGATTTTTATGGAGACGTGAATAAGCTGCGACTGACTGTGTCGTAAGTTAGATTTTTGACGAAGTGCAAATATCACAATTGTGTTAGATGCGAAGGTATTTTCAATATATCAAAATGGTTTTATATTTATTGAAATATCAGCATGAACATATGATTTATTTTCAATCGAATGAAATGTTCAATTATTCCCCGAATTTGATCAAAGTGGTCTTAAATGATGTACTTAACCAACTGCAACCGATTGTATTGTCAGACGACCTTCCTCCAGACGTCAGCAAGAAAGAGGAGCGAGAGAACGAGAGGCTGTACCAAGACTGTTCCCACCACGGTATACAGTACCAGCACGGGGCGGTGTTTGCCTCCAATAAGACGGCACTGAAACCGACACAAGACAACCAGTGTGTGCAGTGCACGTGCGCGGTACGTTTGAAGTTCTCACGGTCCGGTGTAACGAAACTGAGGGTTCGTGTAACAGACAGTCCGCCCTCCATATAGTTATAATGGTTAGGGTTAGCCTGACCTAAGTGGGTCAAAATCTAGGGCGAGGCTTACCTGTACAAATGAATGGGAAGCGGACTCTCTGTTATGGGGAACTCTCTGTCACGTTACACCGGTTTGACAGAAATGATGGTCTGCTTGGAACCGTGGTCCTTTGCCCATTGCTTTGTGTAGTGAAATTGGCCCCCATTTTCTAGCCTCAATTTCTCCGGCTAGCCCCTACGTTGGTCCTCGTTACATAGTTCCAAGCCGGAATTTTGTTCGGTCTTATTTAATATAAATGTGCAATAGTCTACTAGAATAAAACACGGGTGCTCCAAATTAACTTTTAAGTTTAAATTGAACTGTAATTACAGATTTATCTGTGGTCAAATTCAAAGCTGATGATTGATGTTGCGTCGTAAGTAACAAGCATATTTTTTGGAATTAATTAGTAAGATTTATTATCTCATTAAAATGTTTTCTTATCTAGGACGGGGATGTGCTGTGCCGTTTAAAGACCTGCCTCCCTCTGCCGTGTACAAAACTCATCTACATCAAAGAAGACTGCTGTCCAGTATGTGAGGGTGAGTTTTGATCATGGTGATCACTGATATTTTTATTCTTTTTCCTTGCGGCCAACATTATATCTTTTTTAGAACATTTTGCTAGCCGAGACCATTTCTGTCGCATGTTCTTTTAACTTGTTTGAAACTCACAGATTGGGGCTTATTCTAAAAACTAAATGTTTATTCCATTCATTAATCAATCGATCCGTTCATGCGATAATTCATGCGCCTATTTTTCCATCTTTTTATAAACTCTCTTTACACACTGTTTTCAATACGTGCTTTAATGATTATGCAAATATAATCTCGCAATTTCTCGCATTCTCAGACGTGAGTGAGCTGGCGGGCACCCTGGACAAGAGCTACCCGTCTAACGTCCTCAAGCACGGCGAGACGGTCAGCAAAGTGGCACTGGGAGAGTCCAGTTACAGTAGAAACTCTGGTAAAATTCCATTTTTTTAAATTCTTAATTAAAATTTTTATTTTCATTATATCATTATTATTATTTGACGTGCTGCTAAAATTCGAAGTCTCGTCAAAATTGAACTTGCACAGGTTTTTTTTTTGTGGCGAAAATGTGAGATTTTTTAAAATTTTTAGGTTGGTAACTAAATTTAGATAATCATACATGTATTATGTCAACTTTTGAAGTGTGTTTGCCTCCTTATTTAGTGAATGGTTGCTTATGTTCCTTGCAGAAAACACTGCATTTAAAGCTACGAATCTCATTATCTCCCGAAAAACATCTCGACCTTGAAAGGTTTCTTTCAAATTTTGTTAGAAAAAAAAAAGAGATTGCTTTAATATTGGTCATATTGGTCATATAAGTAATTCTAAATATTATTTGTCCTCCAGACTGTCAATCAGGTGGGCGTGCCTACAGGAACGGTGAGTCGTGGCATCCTGTGGTTGGTCCATTTGGGAAAATGAAGTGTGTGCTGTGCACGTGCGAGGTAAGTCACATGACTCATTACATGTCAGATGAAACTTATCCTAAAATTAATCTTTTTTTAGATAATTGAACTCTTTTCTATACCTTTGTTTGATTCGGGATACAAAGTTTTATTCATAGCGTTTATTTTACCGACATCAAACGAAAAAACCTAGATAACTTATAACTTCAAGGTAATTCTTCAAATAAATTACCTTTTTAAATTTTAATTACCTTTTTAAATTTTATAGCGGGGTCACGTATCCTGCAGGCGCCCCATTTGCGAACCCGAGGAGAATCTAACGTGTTCCGACCCCGTGAAACCGGCGGGAGAGTGTTGTAAACGGTGCCTCAATGGTAAGGGGTGTTAATTTATACGCATCAGAACATTGTCTGAAGAATTTTTTTGATGAAGTATAATATTTTGAAGACATTCTGTGTTTTTAGAAATTCTAAGAGAAAACATTTGTTGTGCGTAGCATGGTGGGTAAAATGCGTTATATTTAGACCCTGGAAGTAAAAAATTAATAAAAAAGAAAACGGTCAATGTAATAACTGTCACTTTTTAAAGGTAAAGTTATTCATATGGAAACAATTTGTCTGTCAGAAAATTATCTTAATTAAAGAAAGTCATTTATCAAGCTATAAACTATAATAACTATTTCTAACTTCAGACGCAGACAACTCCACGACTAAAGAGAGCACCTACGCGTTCCAGCTCCCCACCAACAGTCCCCGTCTGTGCGCGCCCCCTGGTGTGGAGTACCTAGTTTACGAACTCTCCTCGCAGTTAGAGTATAGGATAATCTTTAGGGACGACAAGAAACAGAGGATTGACCAGCTTAGGTGGCGGTTACAGTCAGGTACGGCGATAGGACCATTTACATTTAGAGTTTGAGTACACTGCCATCCAGGAGCGCGCGCATTCAAGGCGTTTTTCATCAGACTTGCACCATCTTGTTTTTTACTTATTTTTCATTTAGAATTCATGATTTTCATGACCATATTTCAAGTAACATCAGTGAATAGTGACTAACGACCAAAATTTTCTACAAATATCATAATGTTTCACTTCAATTTTACATTGTTTTTTTTTAATTTAGTCATCTTATTTTGCCTCATTCTAGATTCCTTAAGTACTTTCTATAGAGAACGCCTAAACACACAGGACTTGGAGATGTTACTCAAAGAAAAGGAAGACAAAAAGGCGTCACTTTCAGTTTTAGGCGCTTCTATAAATAGTAAGTTTTTATTTCATATATATGGACATATCTACCAGAATGACGTTGTACAAAAATCACGTTTTAGACTGAAATCCGTAACACTAATTTGTAATTTATGAATAAATAGATAGATAAATAAATAAATAAATAAATAAATAAAAATAATTTCTCTTCCAGAATATGTATCACGATTTAAACGCAGAGTGTATAAATATATGCAGCATTGCGGGGACCTATGTCAGCTCTCGACAATCAATAAACTGAAGAAAAAACTCAAGCTTCAACCGCCTGTGTACAGTGACGACTGCTAGTTGCCAAAGTCATCAACTAATGTTTTCATGATCAGATTGACTGTTGTACAGCAATGTGAAACTTCACGACTCCTGTGCGTTGTGAAAGAACTGCGTTGGCGCTTGCGTGCACCTGGAAAGAACTTGTGCATAAGCACGTGCGCACGGGGAAATGTTCGAACGCTAAAAACACGATGGCCTGCATTGTGATTTAGGGTGGTCCGTTAAAGTCATTGTGCATCACTAATGACGAGTAGATTTCAGATGGCAATATCTATTATAGACCAAGCGCTGACAAAGCCACACCCGCAGGGGGCGTGTCCTGAGTTGTTACCGCCCCCAGAGCCACGCCCCTAAGGTCAAAACAAGTGCAATTTGTAGCAGGCTGTCAATACACGAAAAACTGACATTGTTTGTTACAAACGTGAGCTTCAGTCTGTCAAAACGAAAGCGATTTTAAAGAATGAGCGGTTAAAGACGAAACTGCGGCAGGTACATAGTGAACTTTGGGAACGAAGAGAACGGTGTCGTCTGCGTCATGTCGAAGAAGGAGGTATTTCGTACCGAATAGATAACATTTCAAGATTCTGCGCTGTAGAATTATCGGTGAAAAACTCTTCATGGATAATGAAAACACACATCAAATCATTGGTCATGGATATTACTGACTTCAACCCGAACCATCGTGGAAGCAAAATCTAGTAGTCAAAGTAAGATTCCAATGGAAATGTGCAAGACAACGCTGATATTAATACAATTTTTGTAATACTACAAAAACTGCCTTAACAAATACTTTGTAGATATTCCACGAGTGTTTGGCAGGATCCTGTCTAAGATCGGTGGCAGTTAAATCATGTGCTCGAAATTATTCGGTGTGTGTCGGGCCACGGGAGGGTGTTTGGTGGCCCATGAAAAAAGTGGCATGCAAGTAGTGCTACTTTATATGAGTGTCCAAAAAACAGACCACATTAAGGGGTGGCACTGCTGGAATGAGGTTCCCAACGCAGAAAATGGACCGTTTTCGTATTTACTATTATGCCAGTTCACGTGTATATCGCTTGTGAAAAAAACACTTCCCGCTTACTCCCGCCAGTGTATATTGTACTGTATAGTCTACAGGAGAATATATTCATGGCATTGCGAATCGCAGGAGGGTTTACACACTGAGAAGTGGTTCGCACCAAAAGCGAACCGCGATAACTGCCGAGTCAGCAAACTGCGGCGTCATCACACATAAGGGCTCACGTGTTCAAAAATAATTAAAACATTTGATTCTGTTCGTTGTGGGACCTGCTGAAAAAAATAATTAACTCATTGAATTATATTTTTCCCGTGCCCTTTTCACTAGCAGAAAGTGTGTAAACCCGACTTTTATTGCTTAATTTGTAAACCAACTATTAACTGCACTTTCACACAGGATGAATATGGTCCACATAATAGGCTATTGGGTTCATTCTACAAAATGTGAGAAATGGATAGATATTGTATTTTTACACAAAGAGCTATTTCTTTTCAGTCAACTATGGCACGTTTAGATCAAGGTGCAGTGAAATATTCATTTAAAATAAAAACACCTTTTTAAGTCTTCTTGTGAAGCTAGGGCCAAAGGTGCAATTATATCAGCCCATCTTATGAAAGGTAATACTTAGAATACTTATTTATATTATACAGAACTTTATTACATTTGGGGCTTTAATTATGTATACATTGTAAATAAAATATTTATCGGTCTTTTCGATACATTATTGTCAAAAACCATGATTAAAATTCGATGCATGTAAGGATTCCCCGATGTATGTAATAATTTTTGAGAATGTCCTCAAGAACTTAGTTGAGAGTGGTAATTATTATATTATATATAAATATATATGAAATAGCATGAGGCATGATATTCTTTTGAAGAACAGAAGCAATTTGAAGAGATTATTTTTTATTGTTTGCGTAATTTATCAGTGAATAAATATATTATCAGTTTATACATCTAGCCTTTTTTCTGGGCTGGTTTGTGGTTCTCTAGATTTAATCATGGCCATTTAAGACTTCAACATTAAAGATCTTTTGACTGCCTTCATTTCCATTTTCTACAATCAGCACTGAAACAATAATGTCCTGTAAACAATAATGTCTCTAGCCAATCAAAATTCATATTATGTTTGCTGCTGAATAATGTTGTCAAATGCCCAGCATTTTTTTGTCTTCATTTGGCTTAAGAACAAATTTTCTTTAGCCCATTATGATAATGATTTATATATAAATTCCCCAGATGACAGTTAACTTTCATTACAAGGAAGGGTTTTCACATTCCAGTCTTTTCCTGAACAGAACTTGAGGCACAGAAAGAAATCTACTTCATATTTCAGTCTTTACATTGCCCTCAACAAGACATTAGCATGGACACCAGAACTGAAAAATCCTATCTGTTTATAGGATATTTTGGATAACGCTTGTGGCTTGGACTTGGACCTTTTTCTGAACATAGGCACTGGAAGAATTGAAATGTCCCAATAATATAAAGGTCACTGTAGAACTTTCCAGAAAAGCTGTGTAGGTATTCCCCAAAATGCCTCAATTGTGAAGTTTCCTAATGTTCTTGCCAACTACCAAAGGACTTGGCAAGAAAATGTCCATGTATTTCTGATTCTTGAACATCTCCTTAAGGTCATTTCTTTTTGAAGAAACTCATCAGTGACGTTTGCTTCCCACTGTGTTTTGGGTCTGGGGAAGTTTTCTTTTTGGTTGGCTGAACCTTTTTATCCTTGTTTCCACTCTAGAAGAAAAATTGGAAGAGGAATAATAAATTAATAAATAAATAATAAAAATAATAACTTATAAATAAATAAATACAAAAATGTAAGAAGCACACACAAATTTTTCCAAAATTTCCACAATTCAAACACTCCTGAAATCCTTCCTCACTACATTTTGAATAAGTAGTCTAAATTAAATCTATTCACAACAATCACCAGTAAACAGACATTTAATACAGTATCTAGTCAAGAAGAAGTTAGGTTATTTATCCTCCATGAAAATTTGAATTCACCTTGTCTGAGGAGTCCTGTTTTGACTTAGGAGCTGTGACAGGTGCAGGTTTTGTTGGCTCATCTATGTCCGAGGCATCCGTGGAGGCCGTCTCCCAAACCTCCTCCGTCACTGAAAGGAGAATGTTATGGTTGGAATCTTCAAGGCAGGGATAAAGGAAGTGCAAATCAGAAAATAGACAGCAAGTCTGACACATGTACAGATTTTACTCTATAGACCTCCTGTGTGACTGTAAGTATAATGGTATCCAAAATCACTTTATCTTTTTTCTCATTCTAATTTTCTTTTATTGAAGAAAATGCATAAAAGTTCTACATCATACACCACCTACTTACAATCTCTCACAGACCTGATACAATGTATTTGACAAGACGTTTATTTTTTAATTTTAAATTCATAGTGCGTATGTTCTGTTTTTGAAATCATGTTTAATTGTATCTCTCTGCGATTTGTGCAGGGTCAAAAAAGAGACCTCTACTCATATGACACATGACACATCACAAGATGACAACTCACCCATGAAACCTTGTTTATCCATGTAAGTATTTGTAACTTTTTTGCGTCGCTTCACTCTGTGTTTTTCTGAGGATTCATGCTGATTACTGGATTGAGCGTGAGAATTCCCTGTCTTCTTTACTTTCTCTACTTTTTCTTCTTCCTCCTCTTCCTCCATTTTCTCTGGTTCAGGACTGCTGGGGATGTCTGCGACAGGACTAGGGACTGGGCTCTCGGGGATGACCTCTGGAATGTGGAGGACTCATTTGGAATATTGTTCTCTTATTCTTGAACATAACTTTTAAATTTGAGTTTTCCTTTAATTGCTTTTACGAAAATATGGATTTTATGGAGACGGTACATGTTCTTTCCACTTTCAGGCCTGACATTACTGATGAGTCAAAAATTTTCAAAGAATTTTTCCTCAAAGATTTAAGTTGTTTTATATCTTCTGAATCATCTTATACAATTCATATCTCTGGCAAAATCATATCCCCATAGATTATTATATTTAAACACATAAGTGCACACGTGCACAGCTCATTTGAGCATATACACAGTCACATGCAGGTTTATGTGAGGCACATGCTTCTGCTCCTGCATGTGCCTCACGTAAACATGAATGCATTCACACTAATCACTGACACATGCATGCACACCCACACATACCTACACACGCACAAGAACATGCACACATACCGTCCTCTTCATCCTCGCTACTTCTTGCCACAACTTGTATCCTCCTCTCTCTCTCTCTCACACACACACACACACACACGCACACACACACACACATGAACACGCACACATACCATCTTCTTCCTCTTCCTCACTGCTACTCTCCACAACTTGTATCCTCCTCCTCTTCTGCTTCTGGGGTGCTGCATCTTCTTCATCTGAGTCCTGTTTCCTGGTCTTCTTAGATTTTTGCCTGTGTAAGAAGAATATTACAAGGATATGTTTGGTGAAAGGCTCCACTGTTTGCTACTTATTCATATAAATAAACATATAGTATTAAACAATGAAAAATTTATGATAATATCTTATGTTTAATAAAACTGTGGAGGTAATTTTTCAACCTTTCCGATTATCAATATTATAGATTGTTTTCAAATATTCCATTTACCAATAATATTGCGAATAAGCAATTTACATCCTAAAGGAATTTGTTAACAATCTTTTCATGATTTACCCTCTCTTTGGTGGCGATTTTTTGTTCAAATCTCTCTGTGGTTTCACGGCATCTGCACTGTCTTTTTTAACACTGGGTTCCACTTTTGTAGTCTCCGACTTAGTTGAAGGTTCTACAAAACAAATACACAGAAATGGAAATGGTAGTGCCATAAACATTTGCCAACTTCAGTTGTCATATCTTGTTTAATGGAATAATAACAATTATCTTAATATTTATTTCTTTTACAGCCCACTCCATTATTATGCATTTAAATGCAATTAACAGCCACAATAAAAAAACTCTAGAGAGTTACAGTACTAAAATAACACAAACTTAGTTAAGTTAAAATACATTAACAGAGGGATAAAAATTATATATTCTATGTTCTAATAGATTTGGATTGTTTCTTTACCTTTATTTTGTTGTTTGGAGAAGAAAGATCCTATGCCACCCTGTTTTCCTTTCCCCTTGTCTGCCACCTGATGACATGGATATTAATATTAAATTCTTATAAGAAAAAATGTTATACATACGTCAACAGAAAACAATCTGTTGAGTTTTAAGTCTTCAGGAGGAATTCTTTATAGTGTTAATAGCCTTCAAGGCTGTACTGTTGGGTTTATCTCTCTCACACTCTCTTTGCATCTAGCCTTACTTAATAACAAAACAGTATAATCTTGTCCCCAATCTTTCATTTCAATCTTAACCAGTTCACTCACCGTTTCTTTTTGCTCTTGGTCCCCTTTCCCTTCCTCCTTTTCGTTTTCTTCTTTGTCTTCCTTCTTCTTTGAGGCATTAGAAAACATGCCAGCAATGCCAGTGGGCTGTTTGGGCTTGGGCTTGGAACCACTGGTGCCATTCATTGTTGTAACCTTGTGGAATAATATAATAAATCACTTCAACAAAAGTCAACCACATCCCAAAACTGTTGAGAAAATTACTTTTTTAAAACCAGTTTTGACATCTTAATACATGTGGAATTCATTATCTAGTCCCTATCTCCATTACGAGAAAAAAAAAATTAACAGATCTTATTTTTGTCAACATTTTTGCAAATGGTATACTTTAGTGACTAAGGGAAAAAGAGTTGAAATTTGCAGGATTTGTGTACTGATGTGGCCATCGTGCAACTTAAACAAGTTCTTTTAAACTGAGGTTGATGCTTTACCTTAGCAGGTGGCTCTGTGATGACTGGATGCGAAGCTGCCTCTAATTTTTCCAGTTCCTCCAAAGATCTTGGTTTACATTCATCTGATCTAATGGCACTGAACCTGAAACAAAGCAAGCAATGGCATCTTATAGTTTTAATTTATTAACTACATGTAAGGCATTTGCCTAAAATGTCTATACATCGAACAGCTGTCAGTACTTTAAGAAGTTTATTCTTCAATCAAAAATTAACTGATAAACAGACTCATAAAAAACTTATTACATGATTATTAATAAGATGGTTATTAACTAATCAGCTAATTGCCAATTAGTGAATAAATTAATTAATTAATGTGTCAAATTAATTTCAACTTTCATTTTTATATAACTGTTATAGTAATCAACTGCCTCATTAGCAAGCCCTGGCAAACAGCGTATTGCCTTACTTACTCTTTGCTCTGTAACAAACTCCCTTTCAACTTATCATAATCTGCAATATAGAGAGCATTGGAGTCCTGAAAACAGAAATATCAAAGATGATTAGCTTAATTTTTCTTTTAATATATGATTATGATAGACATGCCCTCAGACTTATCATCATTGAAAAAGAAAAAAAACAAAAAACAAAAAAAAGTCACATAAAAAGCTCAATTTTTCTCATAAAATAACACTGGGCATACTTACAGTTTTATCATCATATAAATAAAAATCAAAACATATAAAAAAGCTTTTGACATATAGTACAACTGGTCATACTTTCAGTTTGGCTTTCTGGACAATGTACACATGACATTTTTCTTAATAATATGATTACGATAGTCACACCTTAGTCTTTATCATCATAGAATAAAAAAAGTTGTAGAAAAAAAGTTCACAAATAAAAACACTGGTCCTACTTTCAGTTTCACTTTCTGGACACTGTAAACATGACAGCTGGTCACAGTGGTCAGTGTGGACTTCATGGTGTCCAGGCTCTCCTCAGGAACTACCATGGCTTTAAGTATCTAAACAGAGGAAATAATACCATAGAGAGAAAAGGGACTGTTTTAAAAATAAATAAATAAATAAATAAATAAATAAATAAATAAATAAAATTTAGTCTTCTTATCTTTGATCCAAGATAAATACAAGAATTCAATCAAATTAAATATTCATAATTGTATAAAATGAAAATATTTAAGAAATTGAGAGATATGGTTTATGCATTAAGTTCATACTCCAAATAACATCATTCAAAGGATACTTCTCTAGTAACAATGTTCCACACTAAAAAAAAGTGATAATAAATAATAATAATCAGAAATACAACTTTAAAATTAAAATTAGTTTAGTTTATGGTGTTTACTGTACAATAAATGTGTTATTGTCATACCTTTCCACCATCAGGTGTCTCTGCCATTCCTGACAAGAAATAACACACGGAAAGTTTGTCATTGTCCTTCTTGTTCCTCTGCTGCTGCACAAACGTGTACAGCATCCTAAAATGCAAAATATTTAATTAATTGTTCATAAATCAGATGTTAAAATAATTCAACTCTGGACTGCATTTATAAAGGCTGCTGACAATTACAAATTGTTTTGACATGAAATTACTTACTGTTTAGCCTGATTGACATGTACTGATAAAGTCCTGCTCAACCACTTATATGTTACCTAGAAAACAAAGGTATTCCATTAAAAATTGCTTTTATTTTATTTTTGAAAGTGCACAGTAACAGTCAAGTAGTAGTAGGCCGAGGTCTCAGCAAGGCAGTTACAGCTGTGGGAGACTCAATTAAAATACAGGGCTCTAAGAAATGTTGTGTTCGTGCATTTTCCTACCTTCACCCGGTGTGCTCTCCCTGCGCGGAGAGCGCGCAATTATGGTAAGTACTGCGCACACCAGGTGGAGAGTCCAACTTCCCTGCCTGATCCCGGTGAGTACAACTCAACCACAGCTACCGTGCAGACGTGTACGGTACAGCCGACGAAAATAATCAGAATTGAGACACAATACACAGTGATCTACAATCTCACTCCGTAAGTAGAACCAGTGAATACTTTATTGGCGACAAGGATGAGATTTGTAGCGATTTGGGGTGAGTGCAGAAAAATCACCAGCCAGACCAGGAATCGAACCCGGGACCCCTCGCTTACAGGGCGAGTGCTCTTACCTACTGAGCTACCCGGCCGGTTCTACCTGCCCCTGGCACTACAGAAATATAGTTGAACATTTTGAAATTATCCCACAAATGGTTACAGTAGAAATGCCACTGCCACTACTACACCAAAACTGCTAAATAGACGTTCAAGCCTGGTGATATTTTTTAGTTTACAGGCATCTGTGTTCTTTTCTGACTAAATTAGTGGTGCGCATGGGCTAGAGATAAATACAGAAATAATATACGAGCTACGTACTAGTCGAGATCGAAAGCAGCAGCCCAGGGCAGGGGTACGAAGGTCCTAACTTCGCTGTTACAAATTAAAAGACAAGTTAAAATAAAAAAAAATTCATTAAGCCACAAAAATAACTTCTTTCCTCACTTTCCAAAAATTACCTACCACTTTATTCTCGTCATTTACAAACTCATCAAGATTTTCCAGGTAAATTTGGTCCACCGCCATTTTTTATTTCCCGCGGATCTTGAAGGTCGCGAGATTTCCTTAAGGTCAAATTGAGAATAGTAATATCAATACTGTTCTTTACCTTAATATTTTACATACGGTGAAGAATGCAATGTTTCAATGCTTTTTACACCGTTCTGTGTGTTTCAGATATTATAAGATGAAATGACAATTAGAAATGGACAGAGAAATACAGTAAAACGAAGACGTTAACTTGCGAGATTTCAAACCAGCATGGTGGACATAAACAGAAAGCCGTCATTCAGCGGTACAACTATTTTGCATTCTTAACTTAACTCAATCTTGCCAAGATTATCCGAAAATTTACTTCAGTTTTAAAATGTCTTCCGACGATGCTGTGCAGTCTACAAACGACGATGCAGCCCACTGTAAGCGGTTTGCGGTGTCTCAAGGCTATTGGAAAGACCCCTATTTGCAGTACTTTGTGAAGTCATCAGATCGCAAGGCCCCAGAAATTTCACGAGGGTATTTCGCGAGAGTCTCGGGTGTCAAGTTGCTACTGAGGCAATTTATACAGGTGAAAAGCTAGGGATGGTGAAACGATAAACTATATAGTTGTTCTCTAGCAACTAGATGTAAAAATACGAATAATAATTTATGTATTTTATTCATTAGTATTTTGAAATTTCACCTGCACAAATGCTGTCGTTAAAACACCTTGCCTTACCCTCCTTCAGTTTAAGAACTTTCTCATCTGTGTACCGAAGGTAAAGCCACATGTGCCTTAAGTAGCAGATTGAAATTGAAATACTTGTCACAGTAAAACATGCATGCAGGGGCCGTAGCAATAGTCCGAAGTTTCATTGATCCGAATGTTTGCTATAGAACCTTTGGACCAATGAACCCTTGATTAAAAAAAAAAAGATGAAAATGTTAGCATTTTTTGGACCAAAGAACCTTTGGACTATCGTGACGCCCCCAAAATGCATGACCTTGTTAATTAATATAATATATTTCATATAAGTAATATATCCCTGCTATTATTGTTTTAGCTAACTAAATCTGGCTGCCAAATCGTGAACCTGGGAGCTGGTTTTGACACACTTTACTGGTTACTGCAGGACGAGGGGTTGTCACCAAGAAATTTCACAGAAATTGATTTCCAAGGAATTACATCCAAGAAATGTTACTACATCAAATCTAGGAAGCAGCTTCTAGAAAAAATTGCCAAAGAAGGTAATTTTATTCATGTACTATTTTTTTGCATAAATGGTACTTTTTTAAATCCTGAAACTAATGATTGGATTAGTGAATACTTTTAATTAGTGAATACTTTCAGTACATTAATTTGGTAAAATGTAAGTGGAATATTTTATATATGTCACATCACAATTTATTACAAGTCTGTAAAATAAATTGATACCTTTAAGCATTTAATTCACAGTGCGGACATGAATGTACATTCAAATCTTTCGTGTATGTGTACACGCATGCACACCCACGCAAGCACACTCTCATATGCACACACACAACTAGTAGCAACAGTGCTGTCATTCTTACTTGTTTACCTCTTCAGATGGGGAGATCAGTTTCAACAGCTTCGATCTCCACGCAGCAAACTACCACATAGTTGCTGCTGATTTGAGGGACGTCGCCCAAGTGACTCGCAAACTGCACGAGGCTGGAATCGATCCTAAGCTACCGACTGCATTCATCGCAGAGTGTGTCCTAGTTTACATGGAAACTTCTAAAACTGAAGCCTTGTTGAAGTATTTTGCTGACCACTTTCATACAGCTTTCTTCATAAATTATGAACAGGTAGTATATTTTCATGGTAATTATTAAAAAGATTCAAATTCGTTTTATTCTAATATTACACTTTCTCAAGATTTATCATTTTTAGTTACTAATAAAAAAATTACTTCTTGACTACTTAACTTTTTGGAAGCACTGAATCAGCATTTAGAATGTGACAAAAATATTTTTGTGGAAACTTATTAATTCATATTGTTCAAATTTTCATTGTAATTACATTAATTAGTGTTTTATATGACATAAGAGAGTGTCTTAAAATATTTTATATTTTAAACAATTAACCTTTTTAAATGTATATATTCAAATTAACCATACAGTTAACTCCTATTCTCTATTGTGACCGCTTTAGCTACCTTGGTATGAGTGGAAGTTGGAAGAAAAAAGAGTGCTCCTTATTTCAATGACCCACCTTAGTGTTTAGGTTCAGAATCAATGTATTACAACTTGGAATGAAGTTCTTTTTTCTAATATGATAAAACCAACCAACCCATAAAGTAGGACAGTCTTGGGCATTTTCTGTATTAACGATGGGTCCCTCTAAGATCCTCTTTGTGTACTATCAGAACAGTGGGAACCAAGGCAGATTTAATTCATTTCAATATCTAATTTCTTGATGTTTTTTTTTTTTTTAAATTTAGTTGTAAATATTATGATTTTGATCACCATAAGTCAGAATTTATCTAAGTAATTCATATTCTCGATACAGGTCAACATGGAAGACAGGTTTGGTGAGGTGATGTTGCAAAATCTCCGAATTCGGCATTGTGATCTTCAGGGTGTCCCAGCCTGCAGAAGTTTAGACACACAGAAAAACAGGTAGGTTTCTTTTCCTTCATTTCAGGGGTTTCCCCAGGATTTAGGGTACCAACCAACAAACTAATCCACCAACCCAGAAATTTTGTAAGACTTCCAGCAGTCTTTGAAAATATAGGGAGTCTGTTGAGGCAAATGGCGACTGGGTGGCTCTCTGGGGAAAGCCTTGCTTCCTTTTCAGTCTTAGATCATATGTGTGAGGGTTTTTGTAGGACACAGTAAAACAGAGGGGATTCTTTTTTCCTTCCTTCATTGTCAATCTTAGATCACATAGGTGAGGTTGGTGTTGGGACGTACTGAGTGTATTTATTCTCTAATCTTGAAATTGGAACAGCTTGTGAAAGATTAGACACAGGTTAACGAGAGTGGTACACTTTTCTGTTTTGCACTTTTTTGACTGGCCCTAACCAAACTGTAATTACACTGCTGGGGGTTTTCTCCTTTTTTCAACCGTAGCAACAATCATACAGATTTTTAAAAGCTGATGAGTAATGATACCATAAATGAACTTTAAGGTGTTTTAATGATAAAAGAAAGAGGTGATTTATATTATTCCAGATTCTTGCAGAATGGATGGGAGGGAGCAGATGCTGTCACCATGAACACTCTCTACGGACTCTTACCACAGCATGAGGTGCAAAGGTATGGTTCTCTGGATTGGAATAATTTATATGAACTTGGAATATAAAGTGACATCTTCAGCGTGCGATTGGGCTGTCTGGCAAAGAGAGTTTCTTTCTTTGCTCTTTGTCCTGTCTGGTTAAGTTGAGAATTACATAATAAATGTATGTGCATTTGAAGTGAAAAGGGTCCTGAATGCAGCATATCACATTGTTTTTTGTGTGTTTTTTTTTTGTTTAAGTTAAAAAGAGACGAAAAAATTACAGAGTGAAAAAGATAGAAGGGAGTGGTAAGCTATATCAAAATGCGGAAATTTCTTCAGGGGTTTTAAAATTTGTAACATAACCCTATCTTAAGAGACAGAATGTACTGAGCATTACTCAAAGGTTCATGTTAACACAAACTACCAGCAGCTACGTTTTAAATGCAAGAAAAAAAGTATTAACATAGATATTTTATACGCATTTCAGAATAGAGAAACTAGAATTCATGGATGAGCAAGAGCTTCTTCAGCAGTTATTTGATCACTACTGCCTGTGTTGGGCCTACAAGGACCACAAGAAACTAGGGCTTAAAAATATTAGCTTGGTCCCAGATGGATGAGTGACAGGTCTAACTGGACTGATATACAGGTCCTAGAAGATTGATTTAAAAATCTGGGTCAATTAAATACTGAAATTTTAAGATTTTAACGACCTGGCTTTATTTCGCTTAAATTCCAAGTACATGCAATTCCAGTTCTTCAGGTCCATGACACTTGCTTTGCAGGTCTTTGGAGGTCAATAGTCAGGGCGTGGAAATCTGAAGGAAAAACAACTCTTGAAGATCAATTTTCTGATTTTGGTCACTGATGTTGTCTTTTAGGCAGGTTGAGATTTGTGACCTGAGATTTTAAGGCAAAAGTGGTGAATAGATCGTGAATCGCAAGATCAAGATGGTTGATTCACAGGTCTTGGAGGATTGATAACCGGGTCAAGGACAGAGGTTTGGTAAAGGCCCTGAAGCATTGATCTCCAGACTATCCACAGAAAAAAATTCTGAATGTGTATTTCTGTCTTTTTTTTAAATTTCAAGTAAGTTTGGGATTACTTGTCAACAAAAACTGAGTGTATTTCTGTTTGATTCCTAAATTATCTGGGTATTACTAGTATGCCAAAGAGTGTATGATGAACAGACTACAGGAAGCGACGTGTAGTTTTTCATTGTTTTTAGTGTAGTGATGNTCTTGAAATTGGAACAGCTTGTGAAAGATTAGACACAGGTTAACGAGAGTGGTACACTTTTCTGTTTTGCACTTTTTTGACTGGCCCTAACCAAACTGTAATTACACTGCTGGGGGTTTTCTCCTTTTTTCAACCGTAGCAACAATCATACAGATTTTTAAAAGCTGATGAGTAATGATACCATAAATGAACTTTAAGGTGTTTTAATGATAAAAGAAAGAGGTGATTTATATTATTCCAGATTCTTGCAGAATGGATGGGAGGGAGCAGATGCTGTCACCATGAACACTCTCTACGGACTCTTACCACAGCATGAGGTGCAAAGGTATGGTTCTCTGGATTGGAATAATTTATATGAACTTGGAATATAAAGTGACATCTTCAGCGTGCGATAGGGCTGTCTGGCAAAGAGAGTTTCTTTCTTTGCTCTTTGTCCTGTCTGGTTAAGTTGAGAATTACATAATAAATGTATGTGCATTTGAAGTGAAAAGGGTCCTGAATGCAGCATATCACATTGTTTTTTGTGTGTTTTTTTTTTGTTAAGTTAAAAAGAGACGAAAAAATTACAGAGTGAAAAAGATAGAAGGGAGTGGTAAGCTATATCAAAATGCGGAAATTTCTTCAGGGGTTTTAAAATTTGTAACATAACCCTATCTTAAGAGACAGAATGTACTGAGCATTACTCAAAGGTTCATGTTAACACAAACTACCAGCAGCTACGTTTTAAATGCAAGAAAAAAAGTATTAACATAGATATTTTATACGCATTTCAGAATAGAGAAACTAGAATTCATGGATGAGCAAGAGCTTCTTCAGCAGTTATTTGATCACTACTGCCTGTGTTGGGCCTACAAGGACCACAAGAAACTAGGGCTTAAAAATATTAGCTTGGTCCCAGATGGATGAGTGACAGGTCTAACTGGACTGATATACAGGTCCTAGAAGATTGATTTAAAAATCTGGGTCAATTAAATACTGAAATTTTAAGATTTTAACGACCTGGCTTTATTTCGCTTAAATTCCAAGTACATGCAATTCCAGTTCTTCAGGTCCATGACACTTGCTTTGCAGGTCTTTGGAGGTCAATAGTCAGGGCGTGGAAATCTGAAGGAAAAACAACTCTTGAAGATCAATTTTCTGATTTTGGTCACTGATGTTGTCTTTTAGGCAGGTTGAGATTTGTGACCTGAGATTTTAAGGCAAAAGTGGTGAATAGATCGTGAATCGCAAGATCAAGATGGTTGATTCACAGGTCTTGGAGGATTGATAACCGGGTCAAGGACAGAGGTTTGGTAAAGGCCCTGAAGCATTGATCTCCAGACTATCCACAGAAAAAATTCTGAATGTGTATTTCTGTCTTTTTTTTAAATTTCAAGTAAGTTTGGGATTACTTGTCAACAAAAACTGAGTGTATTTCTGTTTGATTCCTAAATTATCTGGGTATTACTAGTATGCCAAAGAGTGTATGATGAACAGACTACAGGAAGCGACGTGTAGTTTTTCATTGTTTTTAGTGTAGTGATGGTATATAAAGAAAAAAAACTAAATTTTCAAGTAAATAAAATGTAAATCGGCCTAACTTGCGGAGGCTCTGCTCAAGAGTTGGTCATGTGATCAAGACCTTTAAATGAGTCTTGGAGCCAAAATGAAAGAAAGACCTTAAAGATTTAGCTGCATCCCCAGTTACGTAAAGGTTTTTTGATTGATTCTACATGTAGTAGTTCAGAACCTGAATTTTGTATTTCTGCTTGTTTTTGGCTTGAAAAAGTGTCTGTTTGTACAGGAAACACACAAAACCCAACATGGTCAAATAAAGAGTTGAAACATCATGCCTTGTAGAAAAAAAAAACTTGAAGCAATTTTCTTTTTCACTACTCTGCAGAAACTTTATTTAGTTGATGTTCTAACTGGTCTCAGGAGATGAGACATTTTTTCAGAAAACCATTTGTATACAATTTAATTCTGTTTCCATTACGACTTTTGAAACATATCAGTGTACATTGCGATTGTATCTCTGTCCGTAGGATTATGTGCCCTAAATGTTTTACAGTGGTATTTAAGATGCTTGATGAAATTGGCTTATCATTGTATGTTGCATAATGATGGTAAAAGAGAATGGCTTCTAAAGAGATGGAATGGGATTTCTGCCTAAAGGGGGCATGATGTGCCACATCGACAGTTAAGTGATCGAGGCTCTTTGACGAAAGGTCCAATCCTCATGCCTTGTACTACACGTGAAGGTTGGATATACATTTTGCCTCTTTAGAGATTTTTCCTCTTTTAACTGATTTTCCTTTTTTAAAATATTCTCTGTGTGAAAATATTCTTTAAATTCAAAGATAATTATGTTAGTTTGAATAAATGAAAGGAGGCATAAAATTAATGCTTAAATTAGTTGAAGTAGACTTAAAGGTATCATTTGATGAGTTTTATTGTAAATTTAACACTTTCTTTTTATTTGATAATCATTTGCAAGATATTTGCATGGTTTTGTTTTTTTTGGTTACATTGAAAATGCAGAATATGCTAGATGGTTTATCCAAGCAATTTTTTACTTGTCTTGATATTGTTAGGTTTTTGTTAGGGGTCCTCCATTGTTGTCATCATGTTTATAAGTCTATAAAACCATACACATGGGAAGGGGGGGGGTTTAATGCCATCTGTACACTTTTGTAAAATAGTAGAATTATCCAAATTGCTGTCAAAGGTTATAATTTTTTAGCTTATCATCTTGTACTCTTTGAAGCAGGGGTGAGGTGGGGAGAGGGTATGGAAAACGTTTACTCTTTGTAGACTGGTGGAACTGATGATAAAAATGGACGACCCCTTAGTTACTTAGTACTTGTTTTCTGCAGGAGAGGAGTTGGGAGAGACCTCCCTCTAATCTACCAGTCTGGTTTGGACTTTAAATATTGTATCATCATTCATTTTCATTTAATGAAGTACANACAGGGGTGGGGTGGGGAGGGGGTATGGAAAACGTTTACTCTTTGTAGACTGGTGGAACTGATGATTAAAATGGACGACCCCTTAGTTACTTAGTACTTGTTTTCTGCAGGAGAGGAGTTGGGAGAGACCTCCCTCTAATCTACCAGTCTGGTTTGGACTTTAAATATTGTATCATCATTCATTTTCATTTAATGAAGTACATGAATAATTGAAAATGTATATTTATTTGTTGATTTTGCTGTTAACATTTTCATATAATATTAACCAACTTTGGAAAAAGAATGGAGTTACTTTGCTTAATGAAAGTGAAACTTAGATAGTGTGTGCAGTGTACTATCTATTTAAACCACAGCTAGCATGTAGAACAAAAGACTTGGCCGTGCTGTATTGGACATACAAGCATGTCATAAACCAGTGCGTTCCGCGGTTTGTAGCACTCTCGTTACTCACTAGTGCAGTAGCCAATCAGAGGCTGTGGTTTAAGCCAGATACAATATTTCATGTACACCTTGTTGACTCGTATTGTATATATCACATATGAGAAGATGAAAAGTTGCTTTAGCTGCATTTGTTCATGTCTTAACTCCATGTTACTTCTTGTATGATATCGAATCTTGTAAAATCTATTTATTGTTGTGCATTTTATAAAAATTTGTTATATTAAAATATATCTGAGTTGTTTATTATGAGAATTGTTACATTATTTAAGCCTTTGATGTTCTGAGATGGAATGAATATATTGATTGTTTCTTTTCATGTCTGTAACAGTCTATGGACTGTCAGAACTAATGTGCTGCAAAAACATTGCTTTTATTAAAAATAAAACTTTTCTTGGTCAGAAATGATCGTATGTTTTATTTTGTTTAAAAAAAGTTCATGTTTTCAGACTATGCCTACGAACATCCACCCACTACAAAGAAGAAAGATAATCTTGGTCTGTGTGATTGTTAATGAACAAGAATAAAGTTCTTTGCACGTTTGATGAAGTTTTCAGGATAAGCATTTATTCGAGAGGGAAAGAAGTGCTTATCATTTCTACTGAATTTGAGTCATCATTTTCAGTTATTCTCTTTTCCTTGGCAAAAGTCTGAACTCTGTGATCTTTAGTTGTTAGTAATTTTGTGAAATATTGTTGTTGCCCTCTAGTGAATTCCATCTTAACTTCACCCAACTAAACAAGTGACAATTTATGCCAATGAAGCACTGCCCTCTATTGGCATAAATTGTAACTAGACGAGTAACAATTTATGCTGATAGAGGGCAGCAGTTTCTAGTTGTCAATGAGCAATTCTCAGAGGGTAGCAGCTTAGAATGCATGGCAGTGGCTCCTTTGGGCTTTATTCCTGCCTGATGATTGATGGTAAAAGCACACTTAAAGTTGGGAAAGAGAAGTGTCTTCACTTCCATGGTTGAAAGCTTTCAGAATTGTGCTTGATTTCAAAATTTTCTTTATTAATTTTTTTCATATGGCCTAGTACGTTGAGAAAATGCCAGCTACATTTTCAGTTTTTACAACTTGTACCCGTGAATTTTATAGCCTACACTGAGAAAAGAATAAAATCATGAATTTATGAACTTTATTGTAAATAAAATAAAAATTAATCATCAGAATTTGTCTTTCAATGTTTAGAATTACAATAAAATGCAAAAGTGCAGGTAACATTCTTTAATAACAACATGCTAGGAGAAAAGTGATCATATTTTCAAGAGCAAAATTTGTTGGACAGAATTGATAAATCACACATATTTGCACCACAAATAAAAACTTCCAATTTTTCATTTATATAATAAATATCACTTGAAATAATCAAACAGGATATTTCTTATATAAAATCAACATTCATACTTTTCCTAAATAACTTCCTGATTATAATTATTTGATATATATAATTGGTCAGCAATTTCAATACATGTATATAAAACTGGATTGTATAAGAAAAGGACATCAGATATTTAAATAAAATAATTTTGGACAGCAATGAGAGGACAATCTGGGTATTCATGGCACTACACGTAAAAAAAAAAAAATGTTCCATTTTAATCTCAATTATTACCAGATTAAAAATGTGCACCAATAATTCACAGTTAAATATTATATAATACATGTAGCTCACAAAAATGTCACATCTATCAGTTTTGATTTCAATTCCTCACAGTAAATGTGGCACTGCAACTCCCTGACTAGCATTAATACAGTCCATTTTGAAATTGTCCAATAATAATGATAATAAAATTTATATATTAATAAAAATAAATTGACAAAACAACTAGAATTAAGTAACATGAAAGGTTTTTGTGGGAAATGAAAATACTTAAATCTAAAATTCATACTAAAATGAAAACTATTAATTCATAAATATTTGAGTACACTAGTTATATAAAAAATAACTAACATTTGGTAACATGGACGGTTTCAAGATTCTAAATGTCGATTTTTTAAAATTGGCATTGTAAATCTTACAAATTTGAACAAAAATGAAAATCAATATAAATAAATAAATAAATATCTAGTGCATCCTAAAGGACTAGCACTAAGTGACATGGACGGTGAGAGGATTCTGAATTTTCATCACACAGTACGCACTGCCAAAAACCTGCAGTATCTGTACAACAGTACAAATCACATTTAATGCAATAAGCATAGAAAAATCCCTCTTCATTTCTTCATGTAAGAGATCATAGCACCCAAGCTTGTAAACTTGGTATTCACCGGGGCCTTGAAAACCACAATTTTCTTTAGCAGACAAGGAATTAGCATCACACAGACACGTCTTTGGCGGCAGCGGGCGGGACCAATCGCTCATATTATGTATACCACAGCACTTGAAGTTCATTTGTAGTGTGTCCCAGCACTTTTGCTCCTCTGTATCATTGAGGAGGTACTCCCCCTGTGATTTCTTTAAGATCTTTAACAAATCTCCATCTTGAATTGCTGCAGCGTCATGGCCTATGAGAACAGCACAGCAGATTTCTACAATCAGTACGCTTATGAAAATCCACAGGAATCTGCGTACAAACTGAAGGTTACCGCCACGTAGGATGTTATTGTACGCCCCAAATAGTCCGAGTATCGTAACTGCTGCTCCAACGATGAGGTCCAGATATACAGGCACCTGATACTGATGCAGAAATGTACAAGCGAAAATTTGTCGACTTAGGGTCCATGACGACAAAGAAAGCATCAGAACTCCCTGGATTAGGAGCAAAATAATAAATCCTGATACAAGACATCTCAAATAGCGCTCTCGTTTTTCTCTGTCTCCCAAGTCAATTTTACTCATCAGAATATGTGCAGTCCATGTACGGACTAATACTGCTTTACGGCACCTAGTTTATTTAACTGTATATGTAGATTCACAGTCTCTGTGGCTTAAAAGGTTTTCATTAATCTCCCACTTCCACCATCAAATATAACTCTCACAAATCATAATTTTCCAAGCTAGTTTCTGTTTTATTGAATCATGAAAACTCTGTGCTGTTTACTGCCTGCTAGTCAATAAGTCAATAAGGCTACAAGCCTACAACCATATAACTGTAGCTTCCTGTAGGAAAAAGCATCATCCAAATCACTAAGATAATCCGTGTAACTTTCTCTCAACTTGTTTCCTGAAAATAGGGAGGCTGCTGTTTATAAAATTATTCAACTCCTAGCACTGCATATACTGTATTACTGAGTACTAGTACTAGTATACGATCCAACAGAAATTCTCGTGTGCAGTCAATAAAAGTCAAACATAACTAAGCCAATTCACAAATTATTGATTCCAAGGAGGTTAAAATATACCTCCTACTTAAAATGTGTTTACACTATCATTAATGTAGTATTGATCCATCAAAAACCCACTGGCATTTAGTAAAAGTTCACCAATCAATGAGGCATGCATTAAGTTATCACGAAGTTGACATATGTGTACTGTATAAAACACTGTTTGTTGATCATGGGAAATGCATCAACCATGTGGTATTTATTCTGTACATCTTCTACTAATATTCAAATCAAGATACTGCCAATAATAATAATAATAATAATAAAAATAATAATATTATTATTTAATTCTGAAAATAAATAATTTCAAAAAAAAAAAAATAATAATCTATATAATTTCTTTTAAATAGTAAGAGTGATTTGATCATAAAATCTGAATTAATCACAAAAGCAAAACCAAGTTTGCTAAGACATGATGTGAACCAGCGCTGATTGTGAAATCCAGCTCAACTAGTTCAAGATCTACCGTTGTGTAGGGTCACTACCAAGGCAACTTTTTTCAATTTAAAAATTCATTAATAACACCTACATAAACAAAATGAAGTTTGCAATATATGTCCTTCGTTAATAGACACTTTTGAATAAAATTAACTTCAAAACCTGCCAGAAACTAGTCGACCCAGTTTCACTCACCCAAACTGTGTTTGGCCTAATTTCTGCTCCGACAGTGTGTGACCTTGACCGAATAAGTAGGTTAGGCAAGAAAAGCAGGTGGAAAAGGGGGCATAAAATGTTCGTTATATGTAAAATGTGCACATTATTTACGACCATCGATGTGGAATTTTCTGTATGTAAGTAGTATTGCATGTTTGTGCTTTTACTGACTAAATCTGTTGCTGAATTAAAAAATAAATAAAATGTCTTGAAACGAAATCAAAAGCGAAAAACACCGGCGGGTGCCCTCTAGCGGTAGATGCGCATGCAGTAAATTTCCATAAAATCTTCTAGGTTAACACTTTGCACATTAGTTTAACAGCTGCTTCTTTTCTTTTCCTTTGCCGATAAACGTGGAGAGGTCATCTACCAATATATGTTCTTTAACGAAGGATTGTGAAGGCCTGTTACGCCTACAGTATTCCTGCGTGTCCTCACGTACACTATGAATGGCGGGGGTCACCCGTCTAAATTCTAAAAAAAATATATATTTATTTCTAGGTCAAGGCTTTGTCAAAATACGCCATTCTTCAAGGTAAAGTAAAGTCTCTCACAGACAGAAGAAGATGGTGGGCAAAAAGCCGAACGTGATTGTTGTTGGGGCTGGACTTAGCGGTAAGACATTGAAGAGAAGTTGAAAATTAAATGTTGTTGTAATGATGCTGGTAAACATGTACGTGTATTTACTAGAGAGGAAAGATAAAGATTAGAATGCTGGCACTCCTGCGTACCTAGACAAGCATGAATAACCATGCTCCAGGCGTTTTTATTTACTTTGTTCAGTATCTGCAAATAATGCCTGTTATGTACTTTAATTTGTACTCTAATTGAGCTTCTATAGCATCTTAGTGCAATAACACAGACTACATGTAATTTGGTAACCTTATGATGCTGAAGTGCCGCACAACCAAGCTAATGTCATGAGCCTGGGTCTACCCCAGCCAGTCAATAACCTCAAGGTCTAAAGAAAAAAAGAATATGAATATTTACACACACATCCCTGCAAAACTTTGGGCTTAGGCAGGTTCATTCATATTAACAAAATAAATGTTGACAGATACTGCCATGATATCAAGCATTGCAATAGCAAGCCCCTAGCCAGGGGGGAGTTTGAAAGAACCACCTTTTTTGCTGGGAAAAGGTCCACTCTGGGTAAAATTTGATCTATGTACTTGAAGATTTTATGGTAAAAGGTCCACTTTTTCAAAAAAAAAAACCAACCTCCTCTTTGAAATTGCTGGCTAAGGGCCTGAATGGTATTTGTTTTTAGGCTGCGCAAAAACATCTGGAAGAATTTGTTTCATTTGTCCAGATCTCATTGTAAATTACTCCGGCACAACACAAATATGACCTGACTGAAAAAGAGTTCAGAGATTGAATTAGATGTTATGAATTTTTACATGTAATTAATGTACAGTATGTAATAAAACTATATATATAAACCACCTATTTCAATACCTTGCCTGAAGATTGTATATATCTGCATGCATTTATTCCAGGGTTGTCCGCCGCAAGAACGCTGAACGAGGCAGGCGTAGATGTCGTAGTTTTGGAGGGAAGAGACAGAGTGGGAGGCCGAGCTTATACAACTGAGGTAAAGTCTGGTGTCATGTTATCTGATAGTCACACCATGAGTCCTTAAAGGCCCAGTCACAAATCAGTTGCGATGCGTCGGGGATGGGTAAAACCCGGGAAATTTGAACAAAATCTTGAGACAGATCTCACGATTTTGCACCTGTCGGAGGCGCTCTCCGGATTACAAAAAATTAGAAAGATTAGAAAAAATTACAAGAAAAGACGCTCGCAGATATCGTCTCCCACGATTTTTCGACAAAACCGGGTCAAAATCCTTGAAAAAAACTCAGACAATGTAACTGCTCCACTTTTATTAGGATTATTGCTAGGATTGTTAAAGGATTCTTTATTTTCTACGACGACCCCCGGCCAAAACTAATCCCCCACAGATCGCCGACATTGTGACTGGGCCTTAAGGTGTACAGTATGTGACTTGAGAAGGTTGCATCACTTACCTTACAGTGGCCAAAACATAATACGATGATGACTCGATCTTTTCAATGGGCATAAAATATCAAACTTTCAGATACCCCAGTTCATCATTTAAATGGGCATAAAAAATATTTTTGTATAGAATTTGTAGTGCTTTAATAGGAATGCTCTTATTTTAAGAAATTATGACTTAAAAAATACAGTATCTGTATAAAATTCACAATTCCCCTCCAGTGACAAAAGCAAGTTATTACCATGCACTCTGTATATTGCCCATACAAATCAATTAGAAATTGAGTGTATTGTTTTTACTAAGTCAATGTTTTTATAATATTTTGCTATAGAAAGTTTTTTATATACAAGGCCGTGTTCACAGCTAATTGATCCCTGGACTAACTAGTCCCTGAATCAAATATGACTCAACTCACTTGAAAGCATGCTGAGATTTAATAGCTCTGCCTCTGCTGCGGCGACACATGTAGGGAGGGGAGCATCAATTATCATATTTGATCTGCAGACTAGTTAGTTTGTGGATCAACTGGTGGTGAATGTTGCCATATTGAAGAACTAAAAAAAAAACTTTTTCTGTTTCAGCGGGGCAGTGACATGGGAGGGGCGTATGTGGTTCCGTTTATATTCACAGAACTTCATAAACTGGCCACTGAGTTTGGCATAAAAGCTGTCAGCACCAATTCGGAAGGGAAGAAAATATACTACAAAAATGTGAGTTGGAAATTAAAGTGTAAAAGATTATTTTGTTGACAGTGTGGTGAGGTATTTTGTTATGTTTATCTGACAGGTAACTTTGATGATGTTTATTTTTTTAGTTACTAGTTTGATATATTATTATGGAAATATTGATACATCTTGAAATACGCAGTTTGATTTTTCATTTATTTATTTTACCAGGGAGAGGCCAAATCTTTTGATGATCGTGTGAAGCTTTTTGCAAACCCTTTGGCAGGCCTGGATGTCAACCATTCCTTGGTAGAAATTCAGAGATACTGCAACATGGTAAATTTGTTTTCTTTTAAATTTTAATTTTTTTCTTGTTTATTTATTAGCCCCTTCTCCCAGTCCATCAATAATTTGCTTCGTTGTGTTTTTGTCAGATTGCCTACTCACTCATTTACTCTGCCTTTCATTCATTCGTTCATTCATTCGTTCATTCATTCATTCAACTTTTGATGTAGCTCCCAATGTAAGCTTTAATGGACTGTGGTATTTATTATTTACTGTAAAGTATAGAAATTGAAGTAGCATGTCCTTTTACATATTAATTAACACAATGAATAATTAAAAAAAGTAAATAATGAAACTGACATTTTTCTTTTTTATCAGATGCAGATAGATAAGCCCTGGAATTTCAAAGAAGCAGAGACACTGGATAAAATGACACTGGAAGAATGGATAAAAGCCAACACATGGACACAGTGAGAGCTCTCTCTCTCTCTCTTTTCCACTTCCTCCTTCCTTCCCTGCTGTATAAATATCTTAGAATAAAGTACTCTTTCTTTTCTGAGCATGAATGAAATGTTATTCTGTATTCTGTAATGAGATTTTTCTCACTATCATCAGATTTCCTACTTTTTATCATTTTTGAAATCCATGCAGATCTGCCACACCATATTTTCGGACTTTTTGCCACACGTCAGTCTCAGTGCTGTCTGCTATGAATATTTCAGGGAGGCGCGCGACTTTCTCCAGGTGTACTGTGTGACCAAGGCGGCGGTGGAGCCCTGCGAAATTTCATTTCTGGCCTTTGTCTGGAAGGTGAGATATGTGTACAAAATAGCCTTAAAAAATAAGCATCATTATGGTGACAATATCATGATGTTACCTCAGAAATCAGTGAGTAGAATGTTATCTCCCCCTGAACTTGAACATACAGAACTTTAAAAAATTACTGTCATCTTGGTGACAAAAATATGATATTCCCAAAAAATCAGCATGCCTCTTCCAGTCCATGTTTTCTGTCCTGGGCTTTGGACTCCCAATTTGGTTTTTGTCAGTACTACTTGTCCAACTTAGTACAAGTGATTTTCTGTTTATTTTTTATTTTTATTAATTATTATTATTATGTATTTATTTATGTTTTTTTTTGTAGGTTAAAAGCATGGGGAACACAAGAGAGGCATACTCTTCTGGTGGTGGAGGTCTCACAGTGTATGCTGGAGGAATTGGGCAAATTACTCAAAAGATGGCGCAAGAGCTCGGAGGTATGGCAAGATGAGAGTAATTCTGATTAGAGGTGTGAATTACGAGTCCATTGAAAGTTATAAAACAGATTTTTTTTCTTTTTTTCACAAATTGTCTATTTCAAATTCTAAATGAATTTGTTAGGATAAGTCAAGATGCTCTTCCTTTTGGAGGATTTCCTTTTTTTTGATAATCTGTAGATGTTATATAAAATCTTCAGTCTGGGAAATGCAGTTAAAAACATTTTTAAAAATCCCTACAAGAAACTGTTCATAATCTGTAAAAGTTTCAAGTTTCTTATTTAAGTTAAATTCCTATTTGTATTCCATGCCATTGATCTAAAGTTAATTTCAGAAGAGAAAGCTAATAAACGTACTGGATGAACTGAAATATGTACATTACTCGTATTTTCCTTGAATATTTTTTTTTTTATTTTTTCATTATCCAATTTTATGACTTCATATTTTTAAGGTGAGTGTAAAACGCTTCGGCGACTTGCCACCTTTATTTATACTGTAACTAATATTTAACCTTTTATGAGAATAAATATGTTTAAAAAACTGAAATATGAGCAAATTTTAGATAAAGTGCAGTTGAAGAAAAATGTCCAGCGAGTGGCACAGCAAGGGGACAGCATTGAGGTGACGACAGAAGATGGAAAAACTTTTAAGGTACACTCTCTCACTTAATTCACTTTTGTTGTACATTTTGGATTTTTCCACCTAATTTGCTATCAGTGTTTAAAAATGTTACATCACTGCATGTAAAATCAACACGTTAACCCCCCCCCCCCCCCCCCAAATTGTAATAAATGAATTTTAAATATGAATTTTTGAGGTCAACCAATTAACACTTTTTTGCACAAATTTCAGAGTCCATGTGAAGTCTTAAGTCAATAGGTTTAACCTAGCTGTTATATGAAGTAAAAACTTTTTTTTTGAAAACTGCAAAAAAAAAAAAAAAAATCAGTGACTATGTTGTAAAGAACCGTGGTACATTTCAGGCCGACTACATGATTCTGACTACCCCTGCTGTGATGCAGTTGAAGATGACCTTTGACCCCCCACTGCCGCCACTCCGAACACAGCTTTTACAGAGGCTACCCATGGGGGCAGCCATTAAGTGTAAACTAACATACAATCAGCCATTCTGGCAAGAAAAAGGTAAGGATTGGAAGTGCTGTTATTATTTAGTATGGTTGCACTGTTGTCTCTTTTATAAAGATCTAATATTTTACTATGAACATAATCTAAGATCTTTTTTTTTAACAGTATGTGAAGCTTAAATGTTTCAAACTTGAAATTTTTAAATAAAACAAACAATCTAAATTGATACAACATGCTAAATGAATAACATTATTCAGTTTTTTTAGTGTTAATGATAAAACAAATTATATACATGTATGTAGCTGCCTAACAAGTGATACATACAGCTTTTGACAGCTATAAATGGATTGCTTAATCAAACTGCAATCATATTTTCGCATTTCAGGCATAATGTTGAATGGATTTGCTTTGATTGAATATTTAATTGGTATAAGTTTTTTTAAAAGGATTTGATGAAAATGTGATTAATTAACTTTTAGGTTATAATGGATTTACTCTGGTTGAAGACAAGAATGAGCCAGTCTCATGGGTGTTAGATGACTGTTACCCAGGAGCCAAGAGCTATGGACTTGTCAGGTATAAAAATCCCAGATAGCAGGTAGTCGTGGTGCAGGGGCTTTTCCCAGGATTGGGGGTACAGGTCATCCAAAAGTATCACCTGTAATTTTTTACACAATTTTAGGGAGTCTAAGTCGTCATTTTCCAGCAAAAAAAAAAAACAACATAAGCCGTCCAGCTGTCTTTGAACATATTGTCCATCTGGTAATGCCCATGGCTGTCTGAATGACAACTTGACAGTTCGCTTGGAAAAGCCTTGAGTTGGTGGCTATTAATGGAAAATAGCACTCTTACAACTGTTGGCCCACCATGTATATGCTACCATCTTGTGGAGTGCTGCCCTCTAGGGAGGGAGGCTGTTGGTTCATTCTCGATGTCGAGGACATAACAAAGATTATTATGCAAATGGAACTTTGTGTCTCGATCCTTGCTAAAAAAAGTAGCCACTCAGTTAGCATCTGTATGTGTCTTTATATATTCTGATTACTTTGTTAATAACAAAGAAGCAATGAAACATCTGTCATCCTGTTTTAGTTTCTTGGTTGGTGACAAAGCAAGAAACCTGGCACAGTTGGGGAGAGAAGAGAAAATAAGTCAACAGTGTAAAAGTCTCGCCAAGATTTTCAACTCCCAGGATGCTCTAACGGTACGCTGGCATTTGAATATGCACTTCTGTATATCTTATGAAAAGTCTTCCATTTCATGGATCTTTTATGTTATGCGTCCTACCATAAAAATATATAAAATCTGCATTTTATCACTGTTTGAATTTTCAATGTGTATGGAAAATATTTTAGATGTTTTTATATAGATGCATGAAGCTTTTAAAAAGATGTCAGGTGTTTAATTATACTTTGGATCTAAGTATTCAGTTACAATTAAAATGAAAATAACAAAGAATGCATATTTTGTGCTCACACATCACTGAAGATGATGAACTCTTTGTTTTCCAGCCTTCAGGTTATGAAGAGGTGGACTGGATGTCAGAAGCATTTTCATTGGGTGGTTTCAGTCATGCATATCCACCAGGGGTACTGACCAAGTACAAAAAGTTAGTAACTTTCTCTTCCTTTCTCTTTCTCTCTCTCCCTTTCCCATTTCTACACATTCCATTTTTATCACTATAATATTTGATGTTATCTGGGATGAGATTTTTTAAGAGTCAGAAATATCAATATTAGTCTAGTTGGGCGCTTGATCCCCGCACTATATTTTCTCAACTTTTTCACTTGGTGTCAGTCTCATCCCTGTGTTATTGTAAACAGTTTTGTGAAAAAGAGTTAAAATTTGAGATTCACTTGACCATTGACCTTGATATATAAGTATTCAGTCCCCATGACACTGGCTACGTTTATCTAAGAAAATGTATTGTGATTCTTTGAAAAATAAGGAAGGAGTTATGATTTGATAGTGTTATAAAAAAAGAAAAAAATGAAAAAAAGCATATTCAGTTTTCTCTGTGAACCAGAGGGAAGGTGTTTTTTATTATGGAACAGAAACTAGTTCCATGATGTTATATAGAAATATATACTGTATATATAAAGTTTAAAAAGAAAAAAAAATGCCCTAAAATATTATTTTCAGTCTTCTCCGAGAGCCAGTTGGCAGGTGTTATTTTGGTGGAGCAGAAACGGCAGCTCCAGGCACAGCTGGCCTTGAAGGCGCTGTCAGGTCTGGCCAGAGAGCCGCAAGACAAGTAAGATACTGGCAGTTCCAGACTGAACTTACAAATTGTTTTAAAAAATGCAAAAAAAAGAGTCTTTCAAAAAGGCAAAAATAATGTCTAATGGTTTTAAGTAGATGAAGCAATACATGACTAATACATGCCCTAATTTAATTCACAATTTGTAGGTTATTAAGTCTCAGAGACCTTCAAATTGGCAAAAAAAATTATTTTGACAGAAATGTCTCAGATAGTTGATTTCTACTTGATCCTTTTGTTACATATCTAGCTGTTTCAAAGTCTCCCCCCCTCTGTTTACACTTCCATATTTTACCATTTTTTCCCTGCAAATTTTACAAAAAATATTTAAAAAGAGCAACAATTTATAATTGTCTTCTTTTTTATATGCAAAGGCAAACAGTTTGGGAAGAGAAAAAATATGACTTAGCTTTGAAACTGAGCTGAAAAAGTTCTCCAAACTATTACATAATGTTTACCTAAACACAAATGATCTAGCATACTTTGATAAAATACTAAAAAGCAAGGCACTAATTATGACAGTGAAAGATTGAACAGGTTTAAAAAGCAATCCCATTTTGGTTCCAAAATAATTGTTACTCACTAAAGCTTAAAGAAATAGCTTACAATTGACAATCCTTTGACACAAGCCTCCTAATCATGGGATAATTGGATTTTTAAATTAATTTATTTTAAGATTCTGAAAGGCTTTGTGTGCATCATTTTCTAGGTGCTGAATGCTATGGGGAGACTGCCTCTTTCTGATGTTGAGGATCCAGATGCTAAAAAGGTACAGTATAGACTCAGTGTTTTCAATGGTGTAATAACCAGCTGGTTAGTTATACAATGGTTAGACAGGCAAGTATAGTTTTCTGCTACATGATTTATTCAATTGACTGTACAACTCAAGTCTCTGACACATAGGAGAGACCTGAGTTGTACAGTCGATTGAGTAAATCATGTAGCAGAAAACTACACCTGCCTGTCTCAGTTGTCTTACTGGTAAAAAGCAACTTTAAAAAAAGTGTATAACCAACCGTCTGGTTATTACATTGGGCAAAATTTATCAAACTTTCCCATACATAATTTTATAATCACAAATTTCCAGATAGCATTTGGGGTGTGTTTACTGAATAGAATTGGAACAATAGAGTATCCTGCTTAATAATTTTGTTGCTACCACTCAGTAGGATTGTTCTAATTTTAAGAAGTTATGACCTAGAAAATACAGCATTGAAAAGATGGAGTAATTACCTTATTATTGGAAGGTGTATCACATTAGTGGAAGCCTTTGTCATATGTTTTGTTTTGGTTTTATCATTATTCATTGCAATTAATTTGATTTAGCTTGATTGTATCAAAGGCACAGAAGTCAAAGTTTTTAAATTAAAATGTGACTAGGTTTGGTTCTGTTCACTTTTTGGGCCACATGAAAACATTTTAGTTGCTTTTGCTAGAAAGTTTAAATTCCATCCATTTCGGTTCACAATGGCTTAACACGATAACAAATTTTTGTGGTAGGATAACAATAAATTTAATAATATATAGAAATGATTTTTTTTTTTTGGTTAATCTTGTTTGGTTTTAGTGATTTACATGAATGAAGTTGGTGGGACTGATATAAACAGAAAAAAAAAAAGATAAAAATATAAAACCTAACTTCCACAGTGCAGATTATTTATGCCAATAACATCTCTCACTCTGTCTCTCTCTCTCTCTCTCTATATATATATATTTGGCTTACAGAAAGTCTTTACATCCATATGTCATGCATAATCCTTATATTAATATTTTATCTACCAGGACATGAGTTACCAGATTCCTGCCAAGTATCGTTACCTTCCCAGTGTTCCTGTTGCTGTTTCCACGACAACATTGGTTACTCTGGGTCTCGGACTGTTGTTGGGGCGAAGAATGGTAGTTCTTAGAGCCAGAGCTCGTAGGCCATAAGTTCATGAAAGATGACTATTTCTTATATCATTGCATCATTTTTGAAAAGGTTAAATTAGATATTGGTGACCTACTTTTCATAATGAATTCTTCTTGAAATTTCATCTGTTAGGTATTGTTTTTACATTGTTTAAATTCAAAGAATACATTTTGCAGGATTTATTTTTATGTAAAATTGATTTTTGGTACTGCCAATTAAATGAGGAAGCTGGAAATTAAGAAAGAAAGACCAATGAATTTATTACTGTTATTTGTACTAAATATTTACTATCGTGCTAAAAGCGATGTGACTAAGATTGAATGTATTTTTGTACGTAACAGATAGGTGCTTGGCACATGGAAAGCCATGTGGAGTATTTTCTTGTTGTTTTCCTTTGATTTGATGAAAGGATCACTGTTATCAGTATTGTATGTATGATGACTTTGCTTCAGAAGCTTTGAATACTAAGCACCTGTTCCACAATGAGTTCAAAGTTCATGGGCCAAGTTTAGCCAACTAACACTGGATAGCAGACTACATAGAGCTGACTTTCTGCATTATTGGTAGAAAGCCCCATTCACAGAATAGGAAACTAGACCGAGGGTCCAAAATGGCGACCCATCAAAAAGCTTGAAGTCTAATCAACTAATAGACATTGAACTATTCAAGTGGGTTGGTTATATTTTACCCTCAGACTAGTTATAGTCCCCTATGTATTCTGAATGAGGGCTAAGCGCTTTTCAGAATGATCTACCCAATATGAATGCATTTGGCATCTTTACATGAGCTGTTATCACCACTAGGAGTAAGAACCTCAGTCAGGAATTAAACAGTTAGTGCAATAGGCTAAGTAAAAGAAAAGCAGTTGTATGAGGTAAGAGGCATTATTGATATAGAAAAGTGACAGTAGACAGCTATGATTTTAGCCCCAAAATTGACTTGAGGCTCTTTGTGAAGCAGGGTCCCAGAATAATATTTATTTTTGAAAAGTATGTATAAACTGGAGTTACACTTCATAAAGTGGACCAAAGGGGGTGTTCACACAAGTTTGAAATGGAACAAACCAGATTTGGTCCAAACTACAGGAGCAGTTAAAGTAAGGCTCCTTGGGTAGTCACCAGTTTCACTGCAGATTGGTAAAACCAGCTTGAACACTGGCATTGGAAACTGTGTATAGTTTTGCTGTGTGGCCACCAATGTGATTTCAGGAATAGCTGAAACCTGCAGTATGGGTTAGATAGACAATGAACTGGAGGAGGGGGTTGGAGAAGTGCATGGGTAAAAGTTGTAAAAACTGAAAATCCTGAGAATGTAGCTTGCAAGCTCTCATTACATTTAGACCATATGAAAAAATAAAAAAAATCAAAATGAAGATTGAAAATGCTGTAATCCAGCATAATTCTGTCAACTTTCACCCATGTCAGTTTGCAATTGATTCATTAGGTATGCTTCTGGTACCCTTAAAGTTATGCGAGTTAGAACTCCTCAAATTGAAATCAAGTTTGCTTTTATAGGAACCATATGTGTGTACATGCAGGTACCTTCAAGTGTTATGGTCAGACCATTTATAGGATCCATGTGTGTACCTTCAAGTGTTATGGTCAGACCATTTATAGGATCCATGTGTGTACCTTCAAGTGTTATGGTCAGACCATTTTATTGTTCATGTGTTCTCTGAATAACATTGCCAAAATGTAATAAAAAAAGGATACAATCCTTTTAAAAATATGTCATTCATTCATTTGCCTGAATTATCTATTGCGATGAAAGCGAACCTTTTATTTCTAGAACTCGAATGCCAAAGACACACGGCTCTAAATGGGGTGTTGAGCAAAATTTAATCAAGTTTTGGAAGTAGATATTGTAGTAGATACTTTTATCTTTTCAGTGGCAGAAAATAATCAATCTTTCAAATACATAATTTAAATTTATAATCACAATAATTCTATATAGCATTTTACTGCATAAAATACAACTTTTGAGTAGCCCACTTCTTAATTTTGCTTGCACCACTCAACAGGACTGTCCAAAATTTAAGAAATAATGACTTAAAAATACAGTATCTGTAAAATTTACATTTTTACCCTCATTGAAAAGATGGAGTAATTACTGTATACAGTGGTGGTAAAGGGTTGCTGATATAGCCGGGAAAATTAAGTTTTTGATGAAAGTGAAATGTACTTAATATGATAATCATGAAGCCAAAATAGTACACTGCTGTTCAAAGTATTTTAATCCATTTCTGGAGTTCTTATACAACATTACTTTTCATGTTTTGGTATGAATCTCTTGTTATAAATATTTAACAGACCAAGTGGGGTGGAATTCATACCACTCCTCCAGGTCCTTCCTCAGGAATTACACATCAGAAAAAAGCCAGGGTTTAAAAAAAACCTCTGAACTTTTGAGAGAAGAGTTTCATTAGCTCTGTATGTATCAATTTACATTATTGTTTTTCTTTTTATCAAGAGCTTATAAAATATGTAGGTTTTACCTCCAATATTTCTGTGACTGTCAGTCACCATCATCAGGGAGTAAATGACTAGGGTCATTTCACCTGGAATGAAAATCCAGGTCAATTGCCCCTAATCACTGACCTTGTGTTGTAACTGTTACACATCAGGACCAAACAACCAGACCTGAACAGACAGGGGGGGGTATGATTTACCAGCTATCTATCTCACGGTGCTTCAGAGGGATGCAGAGGAGCCCCGGGGGGAAGGTGTAACAGTTACAACACAAGGCCAGTGATAAAAAACCTACATATTTTATAAGCTCTTGATAAAAAGAAAAACAATAACTCTGAACTTTTATCATGAAAGATTTTGACGAATCTCTGGAACCATCAGAATTGAATTACAAAATGTGAAATTACAACCCTAGGTTCTAGATTTCCATTTTGCCAGCTCAATCTTGGTTTCATATATAACCCATATCAGCAATACTGACACTAGTGAAAACTGGCAACTTGGAGGTGTTCTTTAGCAAAATTCTGCCTGGGTGCTTCCATATTTGGAAGTCACAAGTCTCGTACGTCACATCTATATCCACCTGGAGCTTCCATATTTGGAAATCACAAGTTTTGTATGTCACAGTTCTGTGCTGCCTGGAGCAGGCTTTCCCGCCTTGTGCTGACGTTATCTCATGCCAACGAGACAAGAAGTAAAGTGGCTGACAGGGAGTTTGAAGTTTAAACAAAGAATATCTTGCAGCCGAAGGTCAGTACCACAACACGAGTAACATTTTGCTTTAAAAACTGATTTTGGTCTAGCCAATGCTCAGCCCTTATAGTGGTGTCGGGCATACAGTGTAGCTGTCAAACTTGGCACACGGCAAGCACATGTATTGTGTTTAAATCTTCAGGAGCAAATGTTCTTTGATAAGCAAAAAATACTAAAAACATAGGATATTACTTTTTCTTTTAGAAACAATTTATTTTTCACTTTACATCTTAAAAACATTAAAGAAAATTAAATAAGGCATAATTAAATCTGTTTAACGTGTCATTTTGGTCTAATGACATTCAACTGCAGATTCGCTGTGGGGCAGTTCTTTTTGATTGACTGAAATCATACACTGTCACTGTTCTACAGAGTCACTGTTGACTCTGGATTCACAGTGACTCTGACACTCAGGGCAGGAATTCTTTGTTTTCACGGAAAAAGCTTGTGTCTGTGCATTGTCAATACAATGCTACCAAGCTCTGTGTCATTCTTGCACGTATTTACAGATTACGTTTTTCTATCCCTGTGTACACCCATCCCTGCGTACACCCATCCCTGCGTACACCTATCCCTGTGTATACCTATCCCTGTGTATATCTATCCCTGTGTACACCTATCCCTGTGTACATCTATCCCTGTGTAAACCTGATTGGAACTGGCTTTGTACGCATTCAGAACAGGGGACCCACAGAATTTCTATTACAATTAAGACCATGTAAGATCATTAGTGATATGAAATTACAGATTTAGACCATTTCAGGTACATTAGTCAGAGGCTGACCCTGAGCTATTTTCTGACAGTCTGCCAAATTATCTTTGTTGATTCACCCTCTAATTTTGACCGTCTTCCAACATGAAAAATTGGATACCCATCAATGAAAACTTGAAAACCTGACCGCTTCCGGAAAACCCAGAAGACGGCCTAAATCCGCCCCTGTTAGTGAACATCCATGACAGCGCACCTAGAGATGGTGTGAGTTGTGTTTACAGTTCAAGTACAGACTTCACAAGATAAAGAGCAAGTCCCACCATACCTGTGTCTTCACTGCAAGATATCAACACTGTAGTTACAGCTCTCAATGAATCCATCAACCTGAACTGACTACCTACTCCAGAGCCTAACATCTTCACTGGTGAAAATAAAACTAAACACATTCTTAATTCATAATACATAGTGAAATGCAAAAACAAACTGCTGTGGGCTCAGACGAGATGGCAACTGGGCCACTGATAAGATAATCATTATAACTCTGCTGAACACACGTTCATAGTCCATTCTCTCACACCAGTTTACTGCTAAAAAGAGATAACTGCTCTACATAGAACAGTTTGCTACACGCCCCCAAGATGGCTACAGCTCGCAATGACAGAGATGAAGAAGAAAGCCTACGAGCCAAAATAACTGAAAATTTTGTCAGCTGTCCATTATGCCTTGTTGAGTACAAAGACCCGACAGATTTACCATGTAGGCATACATTTTGTAAAGGTTGTCTGAAGACTTATATTTCAAACTCAACACCAGGAAGTAAATTCCGGTGTCCTGTGTGTCGGAAAGAGACAGAAGTTCCTAAAGATGGACTTGAGGGCTTCACTCACAATTTCTTCATGGAAAGCTTGCAGGACACTGTAATTCAGTCAACACATAAGAAAAAGTGCAGCTCTTGTGTTTTGTTGTCCCAAACTGAAACAGTGGCTACTTCAAAATGCATCACCTGCCATGACTACCTATGTGAGAAGTGTTCTTCATTTCACTGTGCTACCACACTCACCAAAGATCACAGGGTACTCACTTTTCAACAACTTCACAGCAGTGAGTATCAAAAAGAAATCCAAGAGCAGCAGAAGATTATCTGCCCAGAGCACAAAGGTGAGATGATACGATACTTTTGTTCAGACTGCAATGTCCCCATTTGTCGTGACTGCAGAGATCTACACCATGATGGCCACAAACTTATCTCCCTTGAAAAAGCTGCAGAGATGGTAAAGCCACAACTTCAGACCAAATTCTGTGGCATGGAGAAAAAATTAGAAATGGGTGAGAAAAAAATAGATAAAATTGATGAAATATTGGCAACCCTCCAAGAAAATGAAAACTTTGTTCAGCAGAAGATCAAAACTCGTGCAGCTCATCTACGTCAACTGGTAGATCAACGAGAGAAAACCTTACTACAGGAGCTTCATCAAACCACAAGCACTCACAGAAATAATTTACAAATGTCCCACAAAAACTGCAGTGCCACTTGCTCCTCTATCAAAACCACAACAGATGTAGTAAAGAACATCCTTCAACGTGGTGCCCCCATAGATGTCCTCATGTTACAACACCAACTTGGACAGAAACTAGATAAGCTACAGTCAACTTCAGCTGTGGATGATATTCCAGAGGAACTAAAACTCACACTCACCACCAACACAGAAGTGGACCAAAAGATATCCAGTGGGGCTGGCCTGGGGAATGTGCAGATATCTAGACAAACAGCTTTGCCCAAGTTCAAACCACAGGCTGAATGTATGCTGGAGTTTGACACTGGCCGTGAGGTGCCAGTGGACATTTCAGTGAGTCCAAACAGGGAGTATGTTACTACCCATGGTTGGAAGAACAAGGTGAAGGTTTGTAGTTCAGATGGTACATCAAGACAAGAGATCACAAGTGTCTCAGACACACAGTTGAAATGTCCAGTAGGAATCTGTCACTTTCCTGATGGAAGGATGGTTCTATCTGCTGCTCGCAATAACAAACTGTTTATCCTGTCACCACAGTGGGAAGTACAGCAAACTGTTGATGTCAATAACCCATATGGTGTGGCTCTCAATAACAGCTGCACTCAGATTGCTGTGGCACAGAGTAGCAAAAAGAAGTCTGTGAGTGTGTTCAGTATTGATATCAAAGGGAAAATAACTTTAACTGATGTGATAAAGAACAAAGATGGGGAACAGTTGTTCAATGAACCATATAAAGTAGCATATATGAGCAATGGGTGCCTTGTTGTCAGTGATCTATCACAAAAGAAACTTCATATCCTAACCCCATCTGGTGACCCACTGTATCAGTACACAGGACCTGATAACAAGTTAGGTACACCTCTTGGTGTCTGTGTTGATGGATATGACAACATACTAGTTACAGATCATGATAACCACTGCATACACCTTGTATCCCAAAATGGGAAGTTCATCCAGTACATAGCAACCAGAGCTGATGGACTTTATTACCCATGGGGATGTACCATCAACCAGGATGGAGATGTGGTTGTGACTGAATTTGATGGGAAAGTGAAAGTATTCCAATACTTGGAAAAATGACTTCCTTTAAATTCTAAGAAATTGAACAATATGCACTTTTCTGACATACATGTATATACAAGATAACAAAGCATTCAAATGTAAAAAAAAAAAAAAAGGAAACAAGGCAGCAAAGCTGTCAAATGTACAGACAAAAAGCAGAAAAGAATAATGCACAAAATAGGATACTGCCAATTCTGTTGCAATAATACATTACGCTTAACTGCAAAGTCAACATCATAATTTAATTATACCCAACAGGTAATACCAATGAAAGTAAAAGCATAAGGCTTCAGGCCCATGAGAGTTCAAGTTAACACTTAGAAAATGCCAGAATGAGAAAAATGACAATTTCACTAAAAATTGTTAATTCAAGAAAAAAATGATAATCCTATAGAGTTGGTTTTCTTATTTGAGCTACATGTCAATCCTAAATCATTCTCGTAAGTTGAAAAATTATAAGTAACACAGTTTTCTTTTTATCATAACGTTTGTGATGACAGTGCATGGGTAGGCTTGTTGGTAATTTTGATCCAATTCTTACAATAATGATTAACTGTGTAATCACCACCAATTTTTAATTACGTTCTATTAATAACATGGGCATAAATGATAATGTTTATTTCTGTGCTTTTTTTGTTGTGCCCGACTTTTGTTTGTAATATATATATATATATATATATGTATTACATTTAGTAAAATGTCATTAGTTATTTGTCTATGTGATATTGTGTAAATGAAATGTTAAGGAATTATATAGATTTAGTTTTTTTTTTTTTTTTGCAACTTTTTGCTTGTTTCACTATTTAACAATGTTTACAAATTAATTAATTATAAATTTATTGTTAAGAACTTAATGAACTAATTAATGTAATAAAAATCATGTTTTTTATAATTTATCTATATATTTTTGCATGTATCTTCATCTGTATATATATAAATTTTATTATTTTTTGTTTGTTTGCAACAGGACTCATAAATATGTTAATGAAATGGGAAGTGAGTATGATTATAGTAAATATCCTTGGTCAATTATAGATAATATATATATTAAAGGGTTAAATTTAACATCATCAACTGAAAATGCTTAAGTGTAACTAATAAAATGAGTAGAGTCTAATTGATAGTTTTATTGTATGATAGAGACATATAGGTAAACAAATTATCAACATTTGTTTTAGTAAAATATATTTTGTTGCTTCATACAACATACAGATGACTATTTGTAATTAATTTTTGACTGAATGGCAACTTATTAATAGAAACAGTATATATGTATGCTTAAACATATTTTAATGGATTCGTAAATTTGTACATTAAAATAAGGTAATGATTACAAGGTGGATGTAATCGCAATTGATTAACCATTGTTTATATTTTCAGATATATGTATTTAAAGGACAGAATGAGTATTAATAATAAAGTACACAGCCAGTTAATGCAACTAATATATGTTAACATCTAGGTATATTTACTGGAGGGAAGGAATATTTTAATCTTTTTCTTTTCTTTGCATATAACTGTAATGAGTAGTTTCATATAAACAGAATATGATATGATATGATTAAATAACTGATGTTTGGGTAAATTTCATTATAAAATGGTGTTAATTTTTGTAATATAGAACTCTATTGGTTAATAGATTATTAAATTTCATTTCCTAAAGTTTTGAGGCTAGAAAACTTATTTGAGGAGATTAATTATGTTAAGGCCTATTTTGGTTCAGGCCGAGTGACTGTGGAAATATTCTATTCACACATACTTGAATGAAGTAAAAAGTAAAAGATGTGTTGGCATTCATTAGGTGTGTGTGTGAAAGTTATCTTCCAAAGTTTCTCGGTGGAAAGTAAGGGACCATTCCCACAGATATTTCAATCGATCAATCTCCCTGGAGAGTCTCACTAAATTGCTGTCAACTTGGCTGGCTTAAATGCTAGTAAAGCTGTTAAGGGGTTATTATCTTTGATTTGGTAGGCGTGACAGATATTTAAAACGGTTAGTTGATAACAATTTAGTGAGACTCCCCAGGGAGTTAGATCAATCCAGATAGATTGATCTATGTATGGGAACCCAGTCTCAGAGAGATAAACATGAAAAAAATGTTATTTTGGCTAGTAATTTGTACTAATAAATATCTAATTGAAATTGAATAAAGCAACCTTTTTGATTTTGGAACTGAGATGGCAGTTCTGTTGTTTCTGACACCGGCATCACTCACTGATACAATAACTATTCCCATCTTTTCAGTCTTTTTATGTTTTCTTACAAATCATTTGCTTCTAAAATGTCCCAAATTTCAATTAACCAAGTCAAATTAGAAAAAATATGCTCTTTACTTAATGTTTTATGAATGGCAAAAATACAATTATCTAAAAGTATTAAAGTAGATAGAATTCTATAAATGCTGAATCAACTGAAGCAGTTTTGTTTTAATTGAATTAAAATTACTTTGGACAGACAAATTCAAAAGGGTAAAAGGAGATTTGATTCCAATGAAAAACAGTATTAAAATGTTGCAAATTTCTTTATCTATTTGCTGTTATGTATTTAAGAATATTTCTGATGGGTAACCGGTAATACATTAAAAAATTTACATTGCTATAAATAAAATGACTGAATCTCATCTAATATTGGAGGCAGATATATGTTAGAACAAAATTTAGGCACTTTGTATGTCACCCACTTTTGAATATCTTATAAACTTGTGTCACCAACCAAGCACCTCTCAAACTGAATCAGCTGTACTGAAAAATGTTCTCAAAAATACAAACCAGTTAAAATATTCTCTCATTTACTTGAAATAAAAAAAACACAAGCAGGAAACTTTGGAATAATTTGTTTCTAATAGTGTGAAGAAATAAAACTGGAGACTAAAATTAATCTTGGTACTGCATTACAGACAAGATGGTTTCAAATAATGGAAAATTATTCTAAATGTACTATAATTTTATCTCAAGCATCATGTACCTAAAGGCTAAATTGCATCAGTACAAAATGTTTTTGCATTGTTCTTTCCAAACATCTCTTTTTTGACCATGCACCTAAAAACTCAGAACTTAAGATAGAATAAAACCAACTTTCTGCAGCTCTGTTTGACAAATTTGAAAAGTTATCTTAAGTTTTCGGTTCTATGAAAACAAAGTTTTGATATCTGCAATGCGTGTTTCTCTTCGTTGCTCGACTGTCTGCTTCTTTCCAAATGCTCCCTGCATCAGTTTGCGTTTCCTCTCCTGCAGTTCCAACATGAGCTCTTCCACAGAATCCTTCACGACGTACTGAAACATACGAATCAAACAAATTCTTAGACTCCATGCTGTTACTGATATCTGCTGTGACAGATCTACTTTGGCTGTAGTTCACATATTTCTTTATAAACTTATTTATCAAAATTATTAAATCCATGGTGTTATCTCAACTCTATAAGATTCTGAGAATATTCAGCAATTATTTTACAACATAAAAACTTGTTACATGCATATTTCCATATTCTGTCACCCCTTTCTACTTCTGAGCACAAGGGGGTAACCTTGGCTCTCTCCAATTTCACACTGCCTTTCTATCATCTAAGAGGGATATAGCTCTGTTAATATTTAACAAAGTTGGGTGGAATTAATACCACACCTCAAGGTCATTCCTCAGGAATTACACAATGTAAATGCTACCCATAGCTCTGTGCCATTCTTGAAGGCATTTACAGACAACATACGTTATTCTATCCCTGTGTGTACCGGATTGTAACTGGCTTTAGACGCATTCATAACAGAGGGCCAACAAATCCATGGATCACATATGGCTGACTCACTTGAATGCCTGGAGTGTAATATTCCCATAGGGACTCTATTCAGTGCTAAAAGGGGATTATGTAGCCTCTTAAGTGAGTCGCCATATTTGATCTGCTGAGATCTGTTGATCACTGTTGTGAATGTGGCCCATTATCTTACCTTTGTGATGATGACGTCCTTGGTTTGCCCGAGACGATGACATCTGTCAAAACATTGCTCCTCGGATGCTGGGTTCCAGGTCTAGGGGGTAAATAAATAATTAAGTAAATAAATAAATACACAAATAAACAAATAATAAATAAATAAATAAATAAATAAATAAGAGAGTGGGCTACTGTGAAATAACCAACTTTTTAATGTTTTGTGTCTGAATTACTATGTGTCATACCAGGACCCCACTTATTACATAGTTTTTATTATATTCAGTCAGCTATATTATTCTGCTGAAAAAGTCTACTTGTACCATTGCAATTGAATGATATACTGCTACAATGACATAAATGTTAATAAATCCTTAATGAATATGTTTTGAACAAGTTACAAATACAACAGAAAATATTAACAAAAGCCATGCTGAAGTATTTACATATTAGTTGTACTGCTAATGAAGAATGGCAAACATCCCTTAAAACTAATAATAATTAAATTGAACTTGTTTTATGGCAAGCATTGGCTTCCTGTTTTTGTTAAAATCTGAAAATCAGAGGAAACAAATTAAGAAAAGAGAAGGGAAAAAATCAGAAAAAAAAACTTACAGGATCCATCAAGAAAACCCTGGAGGCAGCAGTAAGGTTAAGTCCCATACCTCCAGCCTTCAGTGAGAGGAGGAATATGGTAGGAGCACGGGGGTCAAGGTCAGAGAACTGCTCAATGGCCTGTGTTCTCTTCGCAGCTGTCATGGTGCCATCGAGACGTGCAAACTTGAACCCAGCAGCTCTGTGGGGGAAAAAATGTAAGTGAAATTTCTTTATGTAATTACAGTGTTTGTAAGGGTCTATTCCCACAACTTTAGATCGATCTATCACCGCGGGGAGTCTCACTAGATTACTGTCAGATAATCCCCCTTAAGTGTCCGTCCCCGCCTACTACAAGCTATAAGGGGTAATTAACTTTCGTGTCCACCCGGCTGACAGCTATTTAGCGTGAACCCCCAGGGAGTTAGGTCGATCTAAAGTAGGTCGATCTAATCTATGGAAATGGGGTGTAAATTATAATCCTACTGGGCCCTAAGGACAGCAGAGACTGAGAATCTACTGGTCCAAAGGAAAAGTGGTTACAAACTGAACAAATTTGGAGCCAAGGCAGTATTACCCTTATTGTACATTGCATTATACAGTTGAAACAAATGACAGACAAATAGACAATATCTGTCTGATAATTTATAATAATTTTAATAAGATAAAGAAATGTAAACATTCAACTTTGGCCCCACATCGACTTACTTGAGTGGAGTCTCTAGGACAGTGAGGAAGGAAGTGAATTGCGAGACAACAATACTCTTAATGGTTGGGTCATCCTTCCTCTGCTGAATCAGGGCCTTCATCAAGGCATCCACCTGGAATCACACTAGCTGTTGACACACAAATATATAGCTGAACATCTTAGTAATATTATACAGGCCAAAAACTCACTTAAAATGATGCTGATTGTAATGTCATTTTTCCCTTTTACATACATATTCACTGAGCTGAGAAAAAAAAGTGTAGTAACTCGTGTACACATGTCGTGACAGAAAAATATTGAACCTAAAATACTTCTTCCAGTAAAATCACTGCAAAGGTTCTACAAAATGGCAGTTTTTAGAGCTGAGGCATAAATTTTAATAAACTAACTTCTGACTTATCTCTACATTTGAGTAGGTTGTGTTTATATTTGCACAACCCCTGGAAAAACATTGACACTGGACTGCCATGGTCCTTCTATTGTGATAACACTCACCTTGACACTGGACTGCCATGGTCCTTCTATTGTGATAACACTCACCTTGACACTGGACTGCCATGGTCCTTCTATTGTGATAACACTTACCTTGGCACTGGACTGCCATGGTCCTTCTATTGTGATAACACTTACCTTGACACTGGACTGCCATGGTCCTTCTATTGTGATAACACTTACCTTGACACTGGACTGCCATGGTCCTTCTATTGTGATAACACTTACCTTGGCACTGGACTGCCATGGTCCTTCTATTGTGATAACACTTACCTTGACACTGGACTGCCATGGTCCTTCTATTGTGATAACACTCACCTTGGCACTGGACTGCCATGGTCCTTCTATTGTGATAACACTCACCTTGGCACTGGACTGCCATGGTCCTTCTATTGTGATAACACTCACCTTGGCACTGGACTGCCATGGTCCTTCTATTGTGATAACACTCACCTTGGCACTGGACTGCCATGGTCCTTCTATTGTGATAACACTCACCTTGGCACTGGACTGCCATGGTCCTTCTATTGTGATAACACTCACCTTGGCACTGGACTGCCATGGTCCTTCTATTGTGATAACACTCACCTTGGCACTGGACTGCCATGGTCCTTCTATTGTGATAACACTCACCTTGGCACTGGACTGCCATGGTCCTTCTATTGTGATAACACTCACCTTGGCACTGGACTGCCATGGTCCTTCTATTGTGATAACACTCACCTTGGCACTGGACTGCCATGGTCCTTCTATTGTGATAACACTCACCTTGGCACTGGACTGCCATGGTCCTTCTATTGTGATAACACTCACCTTGGCACTGGACTGCCATGGTCCTTCTATTGTGATAACACTCACCTTGACACTGGACTGCCATGGTCCTTCTATTGTGATAACACTCACCTTGACACTGGACTGCCATGGTCCTTCTATTGTGATAACACTTACCTTGGCACTGGACTGCCATGGTCCTTCTATTGTGATTACACTTACCTTGGCACTGGACTGCCATGGTCATTCTATTGTGATGACACTTACCTTGGCACTGGACTGCCATGGTCCTTCTATTGTGAACTCCTCCTCCTCTGTATTCTCTGGGACTGGGATCAGCTCATTCCTCTCAAGTTTACCACGACACAATGGACAATTAGCACCTTCCTGCAATGTTTGGGAGAGAGAGGTTTTTATGCAATTAATAAACACATATATCTTTCAGGGTCAGGAGGTTTGAAGTCCTGGAAAATGGTTCATCTATTAAATATGAAGAAATAAGATAATGTTCAGGAGTCATTTATATCACTTCTGAGGGCATTTTTTTACACTACAGATCCAGACACTTAAGTAATTCATCAGTTATGAAAGATCAACAGGTGCTTCCTACATAACAAGTGTGTACGGTCACCTAACTTTGTCCTCCACTCCACTTATCTGTTAGAAATATAATGTCTCATCACCAAGTCAAAAGAAATATAAGACTGGAGTTCAGTGTGTGCGTGTGTGTACTCACCCCCTTAGTCTGTATCACCCTCTTAGTGTGTGTGTGTGTGTGTGTGTGTGCTTGCGTGCGTGCGTGCATGCGTGCGTGTGTGTGTGTACTCACCCCCTCAGTCTGTATCACTCTCTCAATACAGGGTTTACAGAACACATGGACACACCTGGTGATAACAGGAGTGTTCAGAGGATCCAGACATATGGAACACTCCTCATCTGATCCTGAGTTTAATACTTGGAGAAGACTCTGGACTAACTTCTCCCTCAGCTCTGCTGGCAGACTGCTGTCCATCTGACCACTTAGCTCTGGAATAAATGAATGAATGAATGAATGAATGAATGAATGAATGAATGAATAAATAAATAAAGGATGGAAGGATGACAGAGACTAGTAAGTTAGGGTTGGAAATTCCTGTCATTGGAAATAGATAACTATTGAAAGGGGCAACAGAAACATTTTTTTTTTAATTATTAAGTGACTAGGATTAGACTAAGCGAATTTTCTACACTCAGGGATGAGACTGTCATTTAGTGAAAAAGTTGAAAAAATATGGCATGGGGTCCAGGGGGGCGTCTACACCAATGATATTTTTGGCTCCCATTAAGTTGGAATTCTGCTGATAGTCAGAAAAATCCCTTCGCTGATTAACACAGATCATTTACCTTGTGACTGTACAGCCAACTTGGCAGCATTGGCGATAAGAAACGGGTGGCAACAAAGCTGGCGTAGCCTCATCAAAATGGCCAACACTTCACCGTAATGATGGAGCAGGGTACCCTGTCTGAAGTACCTGAGACAGAGAATGGTTGGATTGAAAATTATCAGTACTTGAAAGAAACTCCCTTTATCATCAACATTCCGAACTTGTTAAATTTAATTTTCTACAGTAAAGTGGAGCTGTGCATTACTGAGCTTTTTGTCACTCAGTGACCCTCCTAAGTGTGTGTTACTATGAGAATGAGCACTATATTTAATATTTGCATTCCTGACCCATGTTTATTTAAATGCAGAAAATGAAAACTTTAATCTTATGACATGATCAACAGACTATACAGATGAATTTACAATAATATTTTTAACTGATAAATTTAACTTAAATAACTTAATCAAAATAAGCCCCCAGGTTAAAGAATCTTTTGACCTAAATCTAAAATGAAAGTCCCAAAGAGCCGGCTACCTGCTAATGATCAGTTTCCCCTCCTGTGCCATGGTGTCATATGTCCTCCTCTCATCCTCTGACAACTGGAGAGTTTCCAGGTAGACATTTCTGGCAGGTAGCTGGACTAGAGGCTTTCCTCCCACAACCTGTGTCTTCATACGCCGTAGGGCAATGTGACCCATCAAATGTTGGACACGCCTGCGATGAACATGAAATATACGTAGTTGTAATATTTATTGCATATTGTCTGTTGTGAAATGGCAATTAAAGCAATGTAGGGTTAAAACATGTCTGATATATATATATATATATATACAATGTCTCTTTATAAACAATTTGTTTTTATTAATTAATAATTTATCTGTTTGAAGAAAACAATCGATAAATTTCAAGGAACATAGGTATAGTCGTGAAAAAAAGACCTGCCAAAAACTATTCTCAGAAAGTTCCAAGATAGGCTTGTTGTCAATGTCACATCTGACCTGTCAAAAGACTCATGAAAAGAGGTACAAGTTGAAATAGAAACAAAAACAAAAATCTTCCTTACTTGAGAGCATATTCACTGCCACCAGACAGAGGTCTTTCAATGGCGCGTTGCCAGATATCTCGGGCAGTGAAGGGATCTATCTTCAGAAACAACACCAGCGTCCACAGGTCTCGTAAAGAGTTCTGGATTGGTGTACCTAGAAGTGTAAATATTATGAGAATTTATTATTGTTTGTTGTATGAACATCCAGATAAAGTCTGGGTTAGTTTAAACAAAAAAGAGCTTTAGTCTTAAGTTATTATTAAGACAATTTTAAACAGCCTATTTTGACTACGTCAGCAGTACAACACTTCAGTAAGTGTTTTGTGCCAGTCTTGAAAAATTGTGAAAATAAATATGTTTTAAATTGAGAGTTATGTAATTTGTGCCAACTTTTACAGCTTTATGCTTACTCAAGGTTAAAACACCTTCCCCCATCCATTTTTATATAAAAGCCAGAAACTTATAAAACTTTCCTTCCTTCATAACTACAATTAAATCATGATATGCTACTAACAGTCTGGTTTCCTCAGCATTTCAGTACAATAAGGATTGAAATTAAGTTTCAAGAAATTGCTCCCTGACCTGTTAAAACCCACTTCCTCTGTGTCTGTAGCCCAAGAATTGCCTTGGTCATCTGTGCGTTAGGATTCCTGATGGTGTGACCTTCATCTAATACCACCCTCAACCACTTCACTTTACCCAGAATATTCTTCCTCTAGAAATATACAAATAGTTAATACCCAATTATAGACATAAGTACAGAACAAGGCAGTAAAGCTGTCAAATGTACAGACATCTGTGTGTTAGGATTCCTGATGGTGTGACCTTCATCTAATACCACCCTCAACCACTTCACTTTACCCAGAATATTCTTCTCTTAGAAATATACAAATAGTTAATACTCAATTATAGACAAAAGTACAGAAGAAACTAACAATTTGTAAATTTAAACACTATAATTTTTAAATCCTTCAATTACTTTTAAATTGTGTATTTAATGTGGTGTATACATTTTTTTAAATCCTTTCCTTCTTCTGTATAGTCTGTATAGTCTGTTACAAGCTTGCGTCTTATAATGTAAAGTCTCCTTTTTTAATGTTTAAGGACAAAATAAAATATTTTATTACTATTAATTCAAATGCATGAAAAATGCAATATTTATCAGATCAAAACTGTAATTTCTATTATCTTAGGATCAAACCTAAATTGTCACCATCACAAAATTGGAAAAGTGTCGCTTTATTATATTTTTTTTCTGAGCACTATTTCCTACCTTTCTATCAGAGTTTTATTTATTTATTTAGNGTATGTATCTTTCAGTAAGTGTTTGGTGCCAGTCTTGAAAAAGTGTGAAAATAAAACTAAAACCATGTGTACCACCAGTGCTTACGCTGGTGGTACAATTAAATCATGATATGCTACTAACAGTCTGGTTCCCTCAGCATTGGAGTACAATAAGGATTGAAATTAAGTTTCAAGGAACCATTCCCTGACCTGTCAAGACCTACTTCCTCTGTGTCTGTAGTTCAAGAATAGCCTTGGTCATCTGTACAGTACATTAACTAACTAACTAAAAATTAAAATAAACGAGAGTATCAGAGAGGCAATAGCGCCTCAGGATATTGTACCACCAGCTCGAGTTAGCGCATTCGAACGGAAAACCAAAAACAAACAGGAATAACTACCAGTGTTGTGTTTGACAAGCTCTTCCAAATGCAATAAACAAGACAAGAAATATAAAAAAACAGCACAACTTTTATAAAAATCGTCTGATCAAGCCGATTTTCAAGATAATAGGATTGTCAGTTTTCTTTAAAATGCATTATCAGTGTTGCACATATACTGAAAGAAAAAAATAGGTCTATCTCTGCCAGTTTTGAAAATATAAGGGATAGAAAATTTGCAAAGTTCAGTACATGGTGAAAAGAAGGTCAAAGGTCAATTTAAATGTGACAGTTAGATGTCCAGCATATGACTTCCTATTTAAGTTCAAAAGTAACTATGGGTTTATCTCTGCTAGTTTTGGAGATATAAGAGATAGAAAAATTGCAAAGTTCAGTTCATGGTGAAAAGTAGGTTGAAGGTCAATTTCAAGGTCACAGTTAGATTGCCAGTATATGACTTCATATTCAAGTTCAATAGTAACTATGGGTGTTTCTCGGCTTCTTATGGAGTATTTCACATTTTATTTTCACCACTAAATATTGCTCAGTTGTGCTTCTTTATATAGCGCAACTCCTTGACCGTATCGCAAACAAAAAAATGGACACCACCTCCAGTAATGCACTTGACAAGCTCTACATAATGCAAAAAACAAGAGGTCTCTAGCATTTACGGTTCCAGAATTAGGGAAAGATTTCAGTTTCGGCATCTTATGGCCGTTTCTCCCATGAAAATGCACCGATTGACCCCAAACATGAAAGGAGTCCCTAATTGCATCCACTTACTATAATATGAGTGCTAAACTCTGTGTAGTTTCTGAAATTTGGCACAAATAAAAGTTTTTTTCTTTTGCAAAAAAATCCCATTTTTAGAAAATTTTCGCCTGTTTGACCTTGAAAAATGGTCAAAGGTCAAATAAAAAGGCATATTTGAAATCCTCATATATGACTTTCGGTCAGACTTCTATACTAATTTTTCCAATAATTCCTTCCGTTTAGGAGATATATAGCATTGAATTTACAAAAAATTTGACAAGGGTGCATTTCATCGAGTGTCACGCCCAAGCGAATGCAGCGACTGAGACAAAAAAAACAGGGGGTTCAGGTTGAGATTATATGTGACTTAAATTCAAGAGATGGGGACACAGGTCTATGCGGTCTAGGAGGAGAAGCGGTAACGGTGACTTGTATCCCACGCCACCTTTCGGAGCCGCCGGAGCTCACGGAGCCACGATACGGGTCAGGACTAAAACCATGAGTACCACCAGCGTACACGCTGGTGGTACTCATAAACAAGGAACTGCTCCCAGACATCACCTGTCAAGACCCACTTCCTCTGTGTCTGTAGTCCAAGGATAGCCTTGGTCATCTGTGTGTTAGGATTCCTGATGGTGTGACCTTCATCTAACACCACCCTCAACCACTTCACTTTACCCAGAATATTCTTCCCCTAGAAATATACAAATAGTTAATACCCAATAATAGACATAAGTACAGAACAAGGCAGTAAAGCTGTCAAATGAACAGACATCTGTGTGTTAGGATTCCTGATAGTGTGACCTTCATCTAATACCACCCTCAACCACTTCACTTTACCCAGAATATTCTTCCCCTAGAAATATACAAATAGTTAATACCCAATTATAGACATAAGTACAGGAAAATAACTAACAAATGATCTATAAATTTAAAAAATAATTTTGAAATCCTTCAATTGCTTTCAAATTGCAGATTTTGTGTATATAATGTGGTGTAAACATATTTTTTAATCCTTTCTTTCTTCTGTAAAGTCTGTTACAAGCTTGTGTCAAGATAGTCTTATAATGTAAAGTCTTCTTTTTTTAACATTAGGACAAAATAAAATATTTTATAACTATAAATTAAATGCACCAAAAATGTAATATTTATCAGATCAAAACTGTAATTTCTATTATCTTAGGATCAAACCTGAATTGCCACCATCACAAAATTGGAAAAGTGTCATTTTATTATTATTTTTTTTTTCTGAGCACTATTTCATACCTTTCTATCAGTGTTTTATTTATTTATTTACTTTAGTTTAAATCCATACCTTACTATCTGTAGTAACAGTCTGATATGTAGTCAACACAATATCCTGTTGTTGTATATTATTATATTATTTATTTATTTTAGTTTAAATCCATACCTTACTATCTGTAGTAACAGTCTGATATGTAGTCAACACAATATCTTGTTGTTGTAGAACTTGAGCACTCTTACATCTAGAAGGTCCATAGAATACATTGATGGCAAGATGGACTCTTTCATCTACGTGGTCTTCTAGTTGGTCCTAAAGTATAAAATAGACAAATGTTTGGTGAGAAATATCTGTCTGCTGAAGAAAGTAAACACACAAAATGAGTGTAAGAACTCAAAAGGATAATATCTGTTCGTTTTGGCCAAAAAATAAATTTTCCTGGACTAAACAACAATTTTCCCATGCCAATTGTTACTGAATCCATTTCTACATTTAAAGTCAGTCCCTGATTTTTTACTAAAAGGTTTTTTTTTTGTAATAATCTCTTAAGATTGAAGTACTTAAGATTAAGAGATTATTACAGATTATGACCATCTAGGTCACGTGGTCTGATGACAAGCTCAGATATCAGAATAATAGCTATAACTGCCATTTCTGTGAATTATTTACGTTTTTATAATTACACTATATCTAGTGAACAATGTTTTTTCCCTGTTCCATTTTGATGCAATTTTACATAAAACTCAACAGCGAAATCACCAACAAATTTTCATTTATAGTACTGGTAATATGGACATACAGAATATGGATAATGTGTGTGTGTGTGTGGGGGGGGGGGGGTAATAATTACTTGATCACTTTACTAGAAATCAGTCCAATAATAGTATTACTCCTCCAGAGTAAGATCAATTTTGATCTTAAAAGCAGAATAAGTCCCTGTTAAGACCATTTCTATTACAGTTAAGGCCACTTAAAATCATTTGTGATCTGAAATTATGGATTCAGACCATTTCAGGCACACCATGACAGCGCACCTAGAGATGGGGTGAGTTGGGTTTAAAGTTCAAGTAGTGACTTCACAAAATAACGAGCAAGCCCTACCATACCTGTGTCTTCACTGCAAGATATCTACACTGTAGTTACAGCTCTCACTGAATCCATCAACCTGAACTGACTACCTACTCCAGAGCCTAACATCTTCACTGGTGAAAATAAAACTAAACACATTCTTAATTCATAATACATAGTGAAATGCAAAAACAAACTGCTGTGGGCTCACACGAGATGGCAACTGGGTCACTGATAAGATAACTGTTATAACTCTACTGAACACACATTCATAGTTCATTCTCTCCCACCAGTTTACTGCTGAAAAGAGATAACTGCTCTACATAGAACAGTTCGGTACAAGCCCCCAAGATGGCTACAGCTCGCGATGACAGAGATGAAGAAGAAAGCCTACGAGCCAAAATAACTGAAAATTTTGTCAGCTGTCCATTATGCCTTGAGGAGTACAAAGATCCGACAGATTTACCATGTAGGCATACATTTTGTAAGTGTTGTCTGAAAGACTATACTCCTGACTTAACACCAGGAAGTAAATTCAGATGTCCTGTGTGTCAGAAAGAGACTGAAGTTCCTAAAGATGGACTTGAGGGCTTCACTCACAATTTCTACATTGAAAGCTTGCAGGACACTGTACTTCAGTCAACACATAAGAAAAAGTGCAGCTCTTGTGTTTTGTTGTCCCAAACTGAAACAGTGGCAACTTCAAAATGCATCACCTGTCATGACTACCTATGTGACAGATGTTCTCCATTCCACTGTGGTAGCAGACTCACTAAAGATCACAGGGTACTCACTTTTCAACAACTTCACAGTAGTGAGTATCAAAAAGTAATCCAAGAACAGCAAAAGATTATCTGCCCAGAGCACAAAGGTGAGATGATACGATACTTTTGTTCACATTGCAATGTCCCCATTTGTCGTGACTGCAAAGATCTACACCATGATGGCCACAAACTTATCTCACTTGAAAAAGCTGCAGAGATGGTAAAACCACAACTTCAAGTCAAATTCTGTGGCATGGAGAAAAAATTTGAAAAGGGTGAGAAATCAATAGATATAATTGATGAAATATTGACAACCCTCCAAGAAAATGAAACCTTAGTTCAGCAGAAGATCAAAACTCGTGCAGCTCATCTACGTCAACTGGTAGATCAACGAGAGAAAACCTTACTACAGGAGCTTCACCAAACCACCAGCACTCACAGAAATAATTTACAAATTTCCCGCAAAAACTACAGTGCCACTTGCTCCTCTATCAAAACCACAACAGATGTAGTAAAGAACATCCTTCAACATGGTGCCCCCATAGATGTCCTCATGTTACAACACCAACTTGGACAGAGACTAGATGAGCTACAGTCCACTTCAGCTGTGGATGATATTCCAGAGGAACTTAAACTCACACTCACCACCAACACAGAAGTGGACCAAGAGATATCCAGTGGGGCTGGCCTGGGGGATGTGCAGATATCTAGACAGTCAGCTTTGCCCAAGTTCAAACCACAGGCTGAATGTATGCTGGAGTTTGACACTGGCTGTGGGTTGACAGTGGACATTTCAGTGAGTCCATACAGGGAGTATGTTACTACCCATGGCCAGAGGAACAAGGTGAAGGTTTTTAGTTCAGATGGTACATCAAGGCAAGAGATCACACGTGTCTCAGACACACAGTTGAAATGTACAGTAGGAATCTGTCACTTTCCTGACGGAAGGATGATTCTATCTGGTATGATCAATAACAAACTGTTCATCCTGTCACCACAGTGGGAAGTACAGCAAACTGTAGATGTCAACAACCCATGTGGTGTGGCTCTCAATAATAGCTGCACTAAGATTGCTGTGGCACAGGGTGGTGAAAAGTCTGTGAGTGTGTTCAGTATTGATATAAAAGGGAAAATAACTTTAACTGATGTGATAAAGGACAAAGATGGGAAACAGTTGTTCAATGAACCATATAAAGTAGCATATATGAGCAATGGGTGCCTTGTTGTTAGTGATATATCACAAAAGAAACTTCACATCCTAACCCCATCTGGTGACCCACTGTATCAGTACACAGGACCTGATAACAAGTTAGGTCGTCCCTTTGGTGTTTGTGTTGATGCATATGACAACATACTGGTTACAGACTGTAATAACCACTGCATACACCTTGTATCCCCAGATGGGAAGTTCATCAAGTACATAGCAACCCAAGCTGATGGACTAGCTAATCCACTGGGATGTACCATCAACCAGGATGGAGATGTGGTTGTGACTCAAGGGAATGGGAAAGTGAAAGTATTCCAATACTTAGAAAAATGACATCCTTTACAATGATAAGAGACTGAACAATATGTACTTTTCTGACATATCTCAATGATGTAGTATACAAGATGACAAAGCATCCAAATGTAAAGATACAAAGCAAACAAGACAGCAAAGCTGTCAAATGTACTGACAAAAAGCAGAAAAGAATAATGGACAGAATAGGATATGGTCCATTCTGGTGCAATAATATGTTACACTTAACTGTAAAATCAACATCATAATTTAATTATGCCCAACGGATAATACCAATTAAAGAATAAGCATGGGTTGTTTCCCTGGTACTTATTAATGAATAGATTTTCTTTTATTTCCCTTTCTGTTTGGGTTGAATAGATAAAAGCATTGGTAAAAGTAACAATTAAACACTCATTGTTAAAGACGTCACATTTAAGCCTTTATGACATCACCTAGTAACAAATAAACAAAACCCCCTGAAGAAAGAAAGAAACCGGTCGGGGCAAGAAAGTTGAAAGAAAGTTTATTATATATATATATATATATATATAGTAAATTTTAATTAGTTATTTGTCTATGCCATATTGTTTGTTTAAATGTCATGTTAAAGAATTATATAGATTAAGTATTTTTTAAGAACTTTTATACGTTTGTTACACTACTAAACAATGTTTACAAATGTAGTTAATTATAAATTTATTGTTAAGAACTTAATGAACTAATTAATGTAATAACTAGCACGTTCTTATAATTTATCTATATATCTTTGCATGCATCTTGATCTGTATGTCTATACATATAAATTCTATTATTTTTTGTTTGTTTGCAACAGGAATCATAAAAAATGTTAATGAAATGGGAAGTAAGTATTATTATAGTAACTATCCTTGGTCAATAACATAATATATATTAAAGGGTTTAATTTAACATTATCAACTTAAAATGCTTAAGTTTTACTAATAAAATGAGAAGAGTCTAACTGATAGTTTTATTGTATGATAGGGATATATAGGTAAACAAATTATAAACATCTGTTTTAGTAAAATATATTTTGTTGCTTCATACAACATATAAATGATTATTTGTGCCTAATTTTTGACTGAATGGCAATTTATATATGTATGCTTAAACATATTAAATGGATTCATAAATTTGTACTTTAAAATAAGGTAATGATTACAAGATGGATGTAATCACATTTGATTAACCATTATTAATATTTTCAGATAGATGTATTTAAAGGACAGAAAGAGTATTAATTGTAAATTACTAGCCAGTTAATTCACAAATATATCATGTTAAATTCTAGTTATATTTACTGGAAGGAAGGAATATTATGTAATTTGACTTTATATTTCATTAATCAATTATTTTTCTTTACATATACCTGTAATGAGTACTTTCATATAAACAGAATATGAAATGATCAAACTAGAAAATCACAAACATCCGTCAAGGCAGGAGTTTTTCGATTATTATTGATTATTGATATATTATTGATCCTGATCACCACCAAAAACTAATAATCTGTTTCTTGGCCCACTTCTAACAGTTCCTGAAAATTTTATTAAAATCAGTCCATAACTTTTTGAATTATGTTGATGACAAACAAACAGACAAACAGGTGAAAACATTACATGTACCTCCTTGCTGGAGGTAATAACTCATCTTTGGGTAAATTTAATTAAGCATGATTTAAATAAAATGGTTTTAACTTTTGTGATATAGAATTTATTTGGTAATAGATTATTAAATTTTATTTGTGAAAGGTTTGAGGCTCAAAACTTATTTCAGCAGGAGATTAATTATGATAAGGTTTATTTCAGTTCAAAGCTGAGTGACTGTGGAAGTATTTTATTCACACGTACTTGAATGAAGTCAAAAGTGATGTGTTGGCATTCATTAGGTGTGTGTGAAAGTTATCTTGAGTTTCTCAGTGGAAAGTTATTTTAACTACCATCATGTAATAAATATGATTGAAATTGAATAAAGCAACCTTTTTGATTTTGAAAATGAGACAGCAGTTCTGTTGTTTTTGACACCGGCATCGCTCGGTGAAAGTACACAGCAACAACAGATGCAGGTGACAGCTATATGTGCAGACACAACTGTGTCTGTACATAAAAAAGGTAATCTTGACACATTCCTGTTACCTCAACTTAAACCATATCCAAATCTTTCACTGATGAGAAAATTACAACCTATAAATTATTTTTTCATTAATAAAATTCGAGTCGTTTAAATGATGGAGATTGGGACCACTGAATTTCTTAAATAATGTTTAAGAAAGCACTTACAATCCAGTTGCTGAGCACAGACAGAGGACAGACAATTAGAGTTGTTCTTGGGCCAACACAATTAGTGCGACCATCACTACTTAGGTTGTTGGCACCTGTAATAGTAAATATCATTTACAATAAGCTAAAAACTTATCTGTAACAGATTTGAAGCATTCCTTACATTAGGCTAAAAACTTATCTGTAACAGATTTTAAGCATTCCTTACATAAGGCTAAAAAAATTTAAAGGCGTACAATGCAGATAAAACAAATATATTATAGCATCGACTGCTTAAACGGCTTAGATGTCTGGCACACCTACTGAAACAGCTAAACAAAAGTTAATTACCCCCTAACAGCTTCAGTAGGTGTGACAGACATCTAAGCTGCTTAAGCTGAAAGCAATTTAGCAAGGAACCCCTCAGAGATAGATCGATCCATAGTTAGTACGACAGGGTCTGGGAATGGTCCCATATTGTCACTTACCTGGACTTTTATTTTGAATGTTCTCTTTCACGTCCACATCTGGTAGAGAATCTTCATCTATCACTGAAAGTAACATTTGAACATTAGTCTCAAAACTATTCACCGTGTCAAAATTCAACACCCAATTAAACAGACGACAATCAAGCCAGGACATTTATCATATCAAAACAGAACAAGAAGGCCACTTTCTCTGCCCAATATTTAATTTTTATTCTTTTTAAAGGGGGTGGGTGGGTTTTTCATCGACCATCAATTACCTATGGGAGCAGACACTGTGCCTTTCCTCTTCTTACCACTGGAGACGTTAGCATCAAGATCTGGCAACTCAAGACTTGGCAGGGGTGGTAAATTTGGCAAAGGATGGACTGAAATAATGCACATATCATGTAGGTAAAGCATTATATATAGGATACAAAAGTGTACATCAAGCACTCAACAAGGTGGAAATGCACTTACATTCAATTTGGCTTTAAAAGAGTGGTGCTTACAACTTGGTTCATTCTATTCTATACTCTACAATCAGTGATGAGCAGCTTTGGCTCCAAAAAAGTCCAAAATCTGCCAGAAAAGTCTCATTACTGTTGTAAGTACCCAAACCACCCGAAAAAGTCAATAACCTGCTGATAGTTTAAAAAATCACATCCCTGTACCGTACCTTTGGCACCGGGTATAAAAGGGGCACTCTTCCTCTTCCGAGACTTCTTCAAGCTGAATTCCTGCTTCACTAAGGGAGAGTTACATGGTTTTTCCTCCTTCAGGGGGTGTGGGGCTGTGGCAACTTCAGTCTCCATTCCAACACATGGGGGCACAGGAGATTCTGGTATGGCTGGCTCTGTCTTTGACCACTTGGACTGGTCAGTAACATTGGCGGTTTGTCCACTGGACAACTGAGGCAGTGGCTGTGGTTGACCAGAAGCAATTTTCTCTGGACGCCAGCTCGGCAGGACGGTTCTCTTGAAGGTGGTGTTGGTCAGCTGGAGGGTGGACACACCAGGCTGGTTCTGGACAATGGTACCTTGACCGTTAGTGACAGTAGTGGAGTGTGTGACCACAAGGACCTGGGATCTCACCCTCATATTCTCCAGCCTCACTGTTAATATAGGACCTGTGCCCTGGTGTCCAACAGGCACTAGAGTCTGAGATATTACATCTGGTTTATGAACTTGTTTATTTTTCTCAGATGATGAGTCCGCCTGAGCTGGAACAGTACCATGCTGTGGTGGTTCCTTGGACAAGATATTTACAGTTTATTCCTCTGGGACTTGGAACTCTGTAATACCTTCCAAGACATTGGTTGACTTTCTCCCACATTTGGCTACAAAAGAATTCAAATATATGTGCACATATTGCTATATAATTTAATCTCATAAAACAATGTTAACAACTATTTTATTGTATTAAATGCCTTTAATATCAAGGATGAGACTGGGATTCAGTGAAAAAGTTGAACATTTGGTGCAAGGTCTGGGGGAAACCTCGACCAATGATATTTTAGGCTCCAAGAATAAGTCACAAATCTGCTGATAAATGGCAAAATCTTATCCCTGAACTACTCTTCAAATCATTAACTATTTCAAAACTGTTCTTTTCCTGACAAGTAGAAAACTTAACATGAAATATGTTCCATAAGTTTCTTGGTTTGACAGTGTTTGTCCCTCTCTTCAACCCCTTAGTCAGTCTGGTGAAGTACTGTAGTTCCTTATATTAGCTGGCACAAATATCTCTTCTTCATCATATCTGGCAGGCTTCTTGATGTTTCTTTAAACATGAATTACATAATATTTAGTCTTATCAGTGTTTTACAAAGGGACACTTGGGTGCCATATTGCTTGAATGACATAAATACTAATCAAAATGTCAATCTGTGAAGACTGCTTTGAATACAACTTATTTCATATACATCTGAACACAGTGAATAACACATGCAATGTACAAATTCAAATAAAGAAACAAACATATGCAATTAAAATACAAATAAAATTCAAATAAATAAATAATTGAAATCACCTCTTGGGTCTGCTCCTGACATTAGGAGGTGTTTTTTTTGGTGCTGGTGCAGACTTGAATCTCCCCCTTCTCCTGGACAGCAGGCTATGTAGAGCTGACTTCCTGGACAGCAGGCTATGTAGAGCTGACTTCCTGGACAGCAGGCTATGTAGAGCTGACTTCCTGCACTATTGGTCTAAGAGTTTTTACCACTCAGTAGGATGTTCAAAATTTAAGAAATTATGACTTAAAAAAAATACAGTATCTGTAAAACTTACATTTTATCCCCATTGAAAAGATTAATTACTGTATACAGTGGTGGTAAATGGTTAAAATTTCCAGGAAATTAAGTTCTTGATGAAAGTGAAATGCAATAAATATCATGATCATGAAGCCAAAAAAGGAGACAAGTTGTTCAAAATATTTTAATCAATTTTGAAGTTCTTGTACAATGTTACTATTCATGTTTTGGTACAAATCTCTTGTTAATAAAATGTCCTAAATTTACATTAACCAAGTCAAATTAGAGAAATTATTTTTAATATCTTCAAAACATTACCAAATGCTCTATAACTGAATATTTCATAAATGGCAAAAATACTATTGTCCAAAAATATTAAAGTAAATTAAACCTTCAGTCTATTTAATCAGTTCTTTAATTATAATAATTTTTGGACAGACAAATTCAAAAGGGCAAAAGTAGTTTTGATTAAAAAAAACTTTTTCTTCATCTATTTGCCATTATGTATTTTAGAACATTTCTAAAGGGGTAACTGGTAATACATTTTAAATTTTCTATTGCTACGAATAAAATGACTGAATCTCGTCTAATATCATCATCACATAATTTGAGGCAGAAATATGTTAGAACAACAATTTGGCACTTTGTATGTCACCCACTTTTAAATATCTTATAAACTTGTGTCACCAACCAAGCACCTCTCAAACTGAATCAGCTGTACCTAAAAATGTTCTCAAAAATACAAACTTTAAAAAAATAGAAACTGCACAAGCAGTAAACTTTGGGATAATTTGATTCTTATAGTGTGAAGAAATAAAACTGGAGATTAAAAGTAATTTGTGGTTTCAAATAATAGAAAAAATAATCTAAATCTACTAAAATTTTATCTCAAGCACCATATACCTGAAGGCTAAATCGCATCATTACAAAATGTCTTTGCACTGTTCTTTCCAAACTTTTCTCTCTTCCTTGACCATGCACCTAAAAAATCAGAACTTAAGATACAAGAAAACCAAACTTTCTGCAGCTCTGTTTGACAAATTTGAAAAGTTATCTTAAGTTTCCGGTTCTATGAAAACAAAGTTTTGATATCTGCAATGCGTGTTTCTCTTCGTTGCTCAGCCGTCTGCTTCTTCCCAAATGCTCCTTGCATCAGTTTGCGTTTCTTCTCCTGCAGTTCCAACATGCGCTCTTCCACGGAATCCTTCACGACGTACTGAAACGTACGAATGAAAAAATTGAGACCCCATGCTGGTACTGATATCTGCTGGTACAGATCTACTTTGGCTGTAGTTCAGATATTTCTTTATAGTTATTTATCTAAATTATTGAATCCATGGTGTAATCTCAACCCTATAAATTTCATATTGAAACATACGGATCAAACAAATTCTGAGTTGGTATTGATCTGACTTTTACTGAGAACTTCATGGCTGTAGTTCAGATATTTTACACTTATTTATCAAAATTATTCAATCCATGGTGTTATTTCAACTCTAAAAGATTATGAGAATATTCAGTAATTATCTTACAATATAAATTATTGTTACGTGGTAGTAAATGACAGTAAATTACTTCTACTTCTGAGCACAAGGGGGTAACCTTGGCTCTCTCCAATTTCACATTGCCTTTCTATAATCTTAAAGGGAGATTAGCTCTGTTATTTAACAGACTAAGCAGGGTGGAATTCATACCACTCCTCCAGGTCATTCCTCAGGAATTACATTTATCATTGAATCGAATATGGCTGACCCACTTGAATGCTTGGCGCGTTATAATTGAATTACAAAATGCAGAATTCTGCCTTTCCTCAGAAAAAGCTTGTGACTATCTGTAATTATAAAAGCTACTTATATTAGCTCTGTGTCATTCTTGAGCATATTGAGAGATGACGTTTTCCTATCCCTGTGTACACCTATCCCTTACAACTATCCCTGTGTACACCTATCCCTGTCTACACTTATCCCAGTGTACATCTATCCCAGTGTACACCTATCCCTGTGTGCACCTGATTGTAACTGGCTGTGGATGCATTCAGAATGGGGAACCAACAGATCCATGAATCGAATATGGCTGACCCACTTGAATGCTTGGCGCGTTATCCCCATGGGGAATCTATTCAGTGTCTATTAGGGGATTATGCGGCAAGTATTTAAGTGGGCTGGCCATATTTGATCTGCTGAGATCTGTTGATCAGTGTTGTGAATGTGGCCTTTTTCTTACCTTTGTAATGATGACGTCCTTGGTTTGCCCGAGACGGTGACATCTGTCAAAACATTGCTCCTCGGATGCTGGGTTCCAGGCCTGGGGGGTAAATAAATAAATAAATAAATAAGAGGGTAGGCTACTGTGAAATAACCAACTTTTTTAACCTTTCGTGACCAAATCACTGCATGTCACACATGGACCCAATTATTACAAATTTATTACTATATTAAGGCCACACTTTTTTATTTTTATGGATGACATCCTGCGCGCACTGATTTTCGTCTGTTCTCAACCCCCCCCCAAGGTAGTCAGTTGTCGCAAACGTCGTTATTGATTTGTCAGAAAATGCAATCTGCAATCCTTGGCTCATTCCGCAAGCTCCATACTGTCAGTGTCGACTGCGGAGACATCCGAGTACTTCCANTATTTATTTTAGTTTAAATCCATACCTTACTATCTGTAGTAACAGTCTGATATGTAGTCAACACAATATCCTGTTGTTGTATATTATTATATTATTTATTTATTTTAGTTTAAATCCATACCTTACTATCTGTAGTAACAGTCTGATATGTAGTCAACACAATATCCTGTTGTTGTATATTATTATATTATTTATTTATTTTAG